ATGTATGGAAGAGACTTTGGGAATTCACGCATCAGATGAAGTTGGCTTTTCTTTTTTACGCCTTGTTTGTATTTTTCCATGTCTAATACACTAAGGACACTTACTCATTGTACTTGAAGTTCAATGTGTCTTTGCTGTTCAGATACTAAAGTGTACTTCTGAGTCATCATGTACCAGGTGGTGGGTTGGACATATATTGGCATTAATTAGGCCTTGGTACTCAAAGAGAAGCTGGTCTCTATCAGGTCACAGACTATGGTAGCAGATTGTCAGATTGTCATTTGACAATGACAGCTTGAGGGTCATTGTTTGCATGCACTACTCTGGGGCCTTGTATTGGAACCTTTTTAAAAAAATAAACTAACAAATGTTAGTGGTTGGGTGTATGTGTGTATATGTGCACGTGTGTTGGAAGTGAGAATTACCAAATAACATCTCTGTTCCTGCCTCTTTCTTGGTCATCATCTGAATATCAGAAGATAGCCCCAGCTCCTGTGTTAACTGTGTGGTTAAGGCCTCTGGACAAAAGGTCACTAGGCTCTTAATGCGGTAAATGAGGGTTCCGGTTCTGCCCTTATCCCTAGTTACTCCTGCAATGTTGATCAAATGAATTGTTTCATACAAGAATAGTGCAAGACTTTCTACAATCTCATCAACCTCATTTCAAGCTAGAAGAAACTAAGTCTCAGAGAGGTTGAGGAACCTTATGGCTGCCATTTGTGCCAGGCATTGTGCTGGCTTTTCACACATTCCGCCTTTAGCTCACCAGCAGGCCCGTGCAGCGGCTCCTCAGGTATTTAGTTGGCAGATAAACAGAGTAGGTTAAGCCTCTGCCTTCGACTCAGGTCATGATCTCAGGGTCCTGGGATCGAGCCCCACCTCAGTCTCAGACCTCCAGAGGTTAGCCTGGCCGGAGGTCACACAGCCAGTCAGTGGTAGAATAAGGATTTAAAGCCTGGGCTGCCTGACTCTCTGCTCTAAGTAGCAAGAAGGGTTCCACCTGGGTCAGGCAGTGGGTGTGCCCAAGCACTGTGGCCTGTGTTTTATGTGGACACTCATGTTTCTAATGTGGGAAGGGACATTTCAGAAGTGCCTTCTGTGGACTTTAAGATCAAACCCTCTCTTGCCTGAAACTCTTCAGGAGCTCAGCACAGTTTTTAAAATACTTCAGAAAGTGGGGCGCCTGGGTGGCTCAGAGTAGGTTAAGCCTCTGCCTTCGACTCAGGTCATGATCTCAGGGTCCTGGGATCGAGCCCCACCTCAGTCTCTCTGCTCGGCCAGAGCCCGCTTCCCCCTCTCTGCCTGCCTGCTTGTGATCTCTCACACTCTCTCTCTGTCAAATAAATAAATAAAATCTTTAAAATACTTAAGAAAGGGGGAAGTAAACACCCCACTTCTGAAAGGACTTCTGGTTTCAGCCCAGGCAGCAAGGAGTTTTGAAGTTGTCACTCCTGCCCTTACATCAAGAGAAAGCTGGACAGACAAAATCGATGACTGTCCTTGTGTGCGTCAGAGTGCTTGAGTGCAGGGCAAACTGTCGCCTTGAAATGTGGAGTCCCCGGGGCAGAAGCCACTGGAGCCATCGCTGGTAGGAACAGTGATGGAGTGTGGGAGGCTGAGTGTGGATTAGCGTCTGAGTAAGGAACTCTTGGGGGCCACAGCCCAAGGGACACCACACGCCTTTATGGTTTTACCTCCAGGAACCCCACCTGTTTTTCACAGCTTATTGCTGAGAAAGATTCCCTGGTGGCTCTGGCAGGGGAAGGGGAAGAGTAATCTTCGTAAAATAAACTCTGAGCATTCCTCAGGGAAAAGATTTTACGAGTCTAATCCTACCCAGGGAAGGGTGTTTCTCCTACTCCCACTCCCTCTAGCCTTTCCATCTCATCTAAGTGGGGGAGAGGTAAGAGAAAACTTGTTTTTCTATATATTCCACGACTCAGCTTTTTTTTTTTTTTTCTTTTAAAGAGTTGTTTACTTTAGAGTGGGAAGGTGGAGAGGGAGAGGGAGAAGGAGTCTCAAACAGACTCTGCATGGAGCATGGAGCCTGATGTAGAGCTCGGTCTCACCCTGAGACTGACTCTGAGATCACAACCTGAGCTGAAACCAACAGTGGGACGCTTAACTGTCTGCACCACCTACACGCCCCAACTCACACATATTGGCACTAAATGTTTGGGGTTTTTTCCCCCATACCAATTCTTTGACATGATCTGGGTGTCCTACAAATTCAACTCTGTTCCTACACTATTTATCTGGAGTTAGCATCTGATCCTACACCTGAAGGGCTCCACGCCACAAGACAGCCCCCTATACTTCAGATGCTAATGGCAAGTCTAAGTCTCTGGTACTTCGAGCTGACAGGCTATAAGTCAGGGTTCCTACAAGCCTCTCCTTGAGTTTGATTATTTGCTATATGGCTTGCTAGATTACTGGTTAATTATAAAAGAATACAATTGAGGAACAACCAGATGGAAGAGACGTGTAGGCGATATGGAATAAGGGGCATAGAGCTTCCATGCCCTCCGTGGGCACACGACTCTCCCTGAACTATCACTGAGGTGTTCCTCCACCTACAAGCTCTCCCAACTCCTTTTTTTAAAAGATTTAATTTATTTATTTGACAGCCAGAGATTACAAGTAGGCAGAGAGGCAGGCAGAGAGAGAAGAAGAGAGCGGGCTCCTGATTCGGGGCTCGATCCCAGGACCCTGGGATCATGACCTGAGCCGAAAACAGGCTTTAACCCACTGAGCCACCCAGGTGCCCCTGGTTAGGTTATTTTTTAATGGAGGTTTCATTACATAGACATGATTGATTAAAATTATTGACCATTAGTGATTGACTCAACCTCCAGCTCCTTTCCCCTCCCCAGATATCAGAGGTTAGGGGACTGGGGCTGAAAATTCCAACTAATTATCTGTGTCAACCAATCCCCCATCCTTAAGGGGTTTCCAAAAGTCCCCTCATTTGCATTAACTGGTGTGGTTAAAAGGGGCTTATTATGATAACCAAAATATACTCCCTTCATCTTTATCTCTCCAGAGCTATTTCAGGAACAGGGACAAAACCCAGATATTATGACAAAGAAATGCTCCAGGGGACACCTGGATAGCTCAGTCAGTGGGGGATGTGACTCTTGACCCCGGGGTTGTGAGTTTCAGCCCCACACTGGGTATAGAGATTACTTAAAAATAAAATCTTAAAAAAAAAAAAAGATGCTCCTATATTATCATAAGGGAAATTATAAGGGTTTCAGGAGCCCTGGCCAGGAGTCAGGAACAAAGGCATATATATATGTGTATATATATACATATATATATGTATACGTATATGTATATATATGTGTATATATGTATATATATATGTATGCATATATATGTATATATATGCATACACACACACACACACACACACATATAAATTATAATGCCGCACAGTGAGATTAAGAAATACTTGTGAAGGTCACAGCCCAAAGACACGCCCACTAAATACTGAGATTTCGTTAGAAGATTATAGAATGCGGGGTGCCGCCTGGGTGGCTCAGTGGGTTAAAGCCTCTGCCTTCAGTTCAGGTCATGATCCCAGGGTCCTGGGATTGAGCACTGCTTCGGGCTCTCTGCTAAGTGGGGAGCCTCCTTCCCTTCCTCTCTCTCTGCCTACTTGTGATCTCTGTCAAATAAATAAATAAAATCTTAAAAAAAAAGATTATAGGACGCCCCCCACCCCAACACACACCTTACCACCACACCAACAGAGCTCCAGTGTAGCAGTGGATTATAGCTGGAAGAACTGCAAGACACACACTCTCTGAGGAGTAACATCTAGGGAAGACCAAAGTCAAGAGGCAAGGCAAAAAGACACTAGAGGAATTTGAAGCCTCTGGGCCTACAACAATAGCAAACATTAAATACAACTCCACTCCTAGCCAGATTAACATAAATCCTCATTCTAGAGTCTCATTTACCTAAGATTCAGTTATTTGATACATCCAATATTGTCTGGCCTTCAGCAAAAAATTATAAGCATGCTAAAAGGAAAAAAACAGTTTAATGAGACACAGCAAGCATCAGACTTCTATGACACAGATGTTGGAATTATCAGACAGGACATTTAAAATAACTAATCAAGGGGCGCCTGGGTGGCTCAGAGTAGGTTAAGCCTCTGCCTTCGGCTCAGGTCATGATCCCAGGGTCCTGGGATGGAGCCCCGCATCCGGCTCTCTGCTCAGCAGGGAGCCTGCTTTCTCCTCTCTCTCTGCCTGCCTCTCTGCCTACTTAAGATCTCTCTCTGTCAAACAAATAGATTCTTTAAAAAAGATATTTAAAGTATTGAGAGAAAACCCCCACTCGCCTAGAATTCTATATCTGGCAAAATTATCCTTCGAAAGTGAAGGAGAAGTAAAAACTTTCTTAGATCAGTAAGCATACTTCAGAAATGCATTTTGAGATGCTCGTTCATTTTGCTTATGAACAAATTGTGGTCCAGAGCTGTTAAGTGGGTGAACCAGGAAAGGGTAGTTTCCAAACCTTTTTTTTTTTTTCCCTTTTGCAAATCACTTTTTGTAGTAAATGTTAGAAGTTGCGCACTTGAAACACTTCATTCTGAATCCGGAGAAGTTGAGAGAGAAAAACTGACTTATTTGAGGTTGAAGAGCAAGTTAGTAACCCACTTGGCATCTGAACGCAGCTCTCCTGATATATTTCCAGCTGTAATTCTGTTGTCTGACCGAGTTTAAGTCTATTTGAAATATTTTCTCTTGCGAGGTGGGGGTGGTGACAGGCTAATTTACAGAGCGTGAAAAGCAAACGTTCCGGGAGGGTGTTCCAAACAGAAGATGTACAAGCAGGATCTCGGTCCCAAACCCTTAGCCAAAGCTAATCGGGACTACAAGTTCCAAGCCCCTTCGCGGCGCGCGCGCGCTGCCCGCCGGGAGGCGTCTCCTGTGCGTCTGCGCGGGAAGTGGAAACCACCAAGGAGGTGAAGCAGCGTGCGGTTTGTCAGGCAGGCCCCGTAGGCTGCTTTGGGTCTCTTCTCGCCGCTAAGCCCGCGGCCCGACCCCTTTGCCGCCATGCCCATGAAGGGCCGCTTCCCGATTCGCCGCACCCTCCAGTACCTGAGCCAGGGGGACGTGGTGTTCAAGGACTCAGTGAAGGTCATGACGGTGAACTACAACACGCACGGGGAGCTGGGCGAGGGTGCCAGGTCAGTCTGAGCCCTTCGAGGCCGTCCCCAGGCCGCGCGGACGTACCCTGCTCACTGTTAGGATGTGCTAGTAACGCTGAGACCTGGAGTGCTCTGGGTGCTACTTAATCCCGGGGCTGGCCTCCTGAGCTGGGTGCCATTGGCCCCATTTTACAGACGAGGAGACTGAGGAGCAAGCCGCTTGCTCCAGGTTCCACAGCGAGAAGAGGACAGCAGAGTCACGCTGTGCCAGCTGCCGTCGTGCCTGAGGTCGGGGAGCGGAGAACAAGGGCCCCCCACATCTCCCTCTACCTCCCCGGTGGAAGACTAGGCTAACCCGGGGAGGCCGGAGCCGCCTTAACTACCTGTACCTGGCAGGCGAGTGGTGGGAAGCAGCTGCGCACGTTCTGCTCTGAGGGGAACCAGGCCCACAGGCTACAGACCCTGTTTAGCTCCCAAGTCTAACAAGTGCTGGCTTTGGGCGAGTTGGTCCTTCTCATTGTCCCAAACTGGCATGATACCTATGTCCAGAGGCGCTGTGGGGATGTATTGTAAGAAGTAACAGCTGCTAGCACTTACGGAGCCCTGTGGTTCTGAATGTTTGTCCTGCATTGTCTCATTTGATGTTTACAGAAGCCCCATGGTTATTCCTATTCTAGGGGTGAAGAAACAAACGGAGATGTTAGGTAACTTGCTTGTCCAAGGTACCACGCTGGCTAGTGAGTGGTTGTGAGTGGTAGCTCTGAAGGGGCTTCTCAGCTGCAGGACTGATCCCCCTCGTAATTGATTATGTCAGCTGTGTAGCCCCTAGGCTCCATTATTCCCCCCCCCCCCCCCCTTTCCCCCCCCCCCCCCCCCCGGCCCCAACCTTAAACTCCTCGAGGTGGTTTTTCAGCCTGGAGCAGAGTGAGAACTTCTTAAATGGAAGCTTAGAAAAGAAAAGTTTGAATTGAACCTTGAGGCAGCAGCAGTAATGTGGGCTTTTCAGGAATTAAGTATAAATTTACTGGGTGCCTACTGAATGCTTGGCCCCATGCTGTGAGCTGTGAATTCAACAGTGCCTAAGAAGAAAGGCTTGTCCTTCAGAAGCTTTGGGACTGGGTGTATGGGGTGGATCAAAATGGGACAGGGGAAGTCCTCCCTATAGGGTATGGTCCCCCATGGTGAGGGGCCTTTGCTGCACAGCTCTTCAGGATAGCCGGAAGCTACCTCCGAGCCATCTGTTGTCCACAGGTGAAGCCAAAAACTGGTACCTGCTTGCATGGGATCAGGTGGGTTGATGGCTTCTGGAAGACCTGGTTCTAGGGTTGAATGGGCATCCATATACGCCTTCATAACTCACTGTGTGTCCCATCCTCCCACGCTAGGAGTCAGCGGAGGTGGGGCAGTACCATGGGCCCGCTCAGATTGGGAAAACGTGCCGCCACAAGGGGCCATTCACTGTTTGGCTAGGGCTTAGCCATGGGGCATGGAGAATTTCTGACTTGTCAAGAAGCCAGAAATTCAGATTTGTATATAAATCTCTGGTTTTTAAAATGATCGGTTGATCGGAATAAGCCTGCAGGCCTTACACGTGGCAGTTCAAGTATTTTAAAATGCCGTAGGTAAATAAGAGCCAAACAGCCATTTTGTGCTCATTGTTCCGAATGGTAAAGCCTTGCCTGTCCCACCTGTGTATGCCCTTGTGGATTTTGTGCCTTTTGGTTTGAGTCTGCCTGACTTGCCCTTTCCAGCCCCACCGGCCTTTGCTTGTTCATGTACCCTTAGTATGTCAGCTCTCCCTTCCTGGATCACCTCCATTCCAAGTACACCAGTATACTAGCCCAGGCCAGCCATAGTCTTGGGTGTCTGCTAGGTGTGTGGGGAGCTGCCTTAGTGTCTGAGGGCTAGGTCCCTGCTCACCTCTGCCAGATGTTCTTGCCTTTTGGGTGCAGTAAGAAAAGTAACAGCTGCTAGCATTTATTGAATTCTGTGTCCAGCCTGGGCCTCAGGATCTAGGTGAATTTGATAATTTGATGGTGACTGAAGAGGGGCTGAAGTCCAGCCACACACAGCCCTCTTCTTTCGTTTACTGGTTTTGTGACTTAGGGCAGTTTACTTAACTTTTCTGACCTGTTTGCTTGGTTATAAAACTAAGGGTTTTTGTGAGGATTCAAGTATTAAAATGCCTAAGGAGTCTGGCATGTACAGCAGGTGCTCAAGTAAAGGTTACCGGCCAGGGGCGCCTGGGTGGCTCAGTGGGTTAAAGCCTCCCTGGGGCCTGGGATCGAGCCCTTCATCAGGCTCCCTGCTCAGTTAGTGTGCAGTGTGAGGCAGGGATACCGATGTTTTTCCCCTCAAATGACAAGCCACAAGTCCTGACACCCACTGTTAGGAGAATATACTAATAAATTCCTCATGGGTGCTTTTCTCAGCCTTTCTTGGGCCAGGGTCCCCTGAGAATTGGTTGAAAGTTCTGACCTATCGCCCTCAAAACATACACAAGTGCACAGTATTTCAAGTTAACTCTGTTTCACAGGTTTAATTTTTTTCCCTTTTGCAGGAAGTTTGTGTTTTTCAATATACCTCAGATCCAGTACAAAAATCCTTGGGTCCAGATCATGATGTTTAAGAACATGACGCCATCTCCCTTCCTGAGGTTCTATCTGGGTGAGTGTGGCCTCTGCTGAGGCTGGGACGGTCTTTCCTCCCATCCCTTCCTCCCACCATAGCGCTTGCGGGAGCTGAGATCTGAACTCTTGCAAACGTCCCTTACTTCCATCACTGGCTTTGGACCGTGGCACACAGTGGCCACTGAGGTCTGGAGTCTTGCCCTGTTTCTCTAGCCCCATCTCCTATTGCCCCCCGTGTTTTTCTGCATGCCTCACAGTGTAGGGCTGGTTTTTCCTAATAACCTTGCCACACCTCGCTTTGCTGCCTTTGCTCATGCTGGTCCCTCTGCTGGAAATCCCCTTGCTGGTTTGCTTATTGATTGATTTTTTAAATCTTTCTGAGACTCCACTTGGGCACCACTTTTTCCAGGAAGCCCTCCCTGTCCCCTTCCATTGGCCCTTCTCTGTCTCCCCCAGCTGTCCACTCAGTGCTGGCCGTGTCCTCTTGAGCAGTGCCGGTATCCGTGTGTCCTCTCTGGAGCGCACACTTACACGATGCTCTCCTCCCACGAGGCACAGGGTGAATGTTTGTTCGGTTCTGTTGGGCTCAGTGCCTAGAGGTCAGACCGGATTGTTTGGCCCCGCTCTCTACTCAGTCATTGTGACCCTGAGCGAGTTATGTTCCCATTGCTTTGTTTCTCAGGGGAAGGTCCAACATCTGCCTTACATGGTTACAAGAACCAATTCAAGTGTAGTTTGGGAATCGCTTCAGGAAGCAGAATGATGCTGTTGTTAAATGTATTCGGCACGTATGTATGTATGAAGTGGCCTCTGGGCCCAGGCCAGTGTCTGGGGTGACAGGGAGCTTTGGAGACGAAGGTCTCTGCCCTCTGTAGGGATGATATCCTAGCTGGAGGAGACAGAAGGCACAAGAAGCTTACCCAGGCAGGATGCCAGGGCGTAAGTGCTGTGAAGGAAACCTAGAATGAGGCCAGGGGGATGAAGAGGATGGTGGTGTGGTAGCAGTTTTGCGTATGTATTTTATGTTTGCGTTTTACACAATTTCATTGAGGTACAATTTGCCCGTGATGAAACACACGGGTCTTCTGTGCATAAATTGAATTCTGACCATTGTTAGGAAGCTGTGTTCCCACTTCCCAAGTGATGATATAGAGCATCTCTGTGACTCCAGAAAGTCCCCGTGTGTGGCTTTTCAGAGAGTTCCCCCTTCCGCCAGAGGCAGCCACTGTTCGGACTTCTCTTTAGATCTGTTTTGTTTCTGAACTTCCCGTGAATAGTTTCCTGGTATATATTCTGCGGCATCTGGCCTTTACTCCTCTGGTTTTTGAGACTCATCTGTTACGTGTATAAGTAGGTGATTCGTTTTTAGTGCCAAGAGGTGTAGAAAGAGACCAGTTTATTTGCCCATTCCCCCGTTGCTGACACTGGGTTTTTTGTTTGATGTCAAGGCAGAGGTAGAAGTGGATTTCTTGGCGATGAGGGGAGGGAAGGGCAGAACAAGTCTTCGGATGGCAGAGCAGGTCGGACATCTCTCGGAGAGGGAGGAGGAGGGAAGCCTGGTGGGAGGCGCCTCGTGGTGGCGCAGGCCTGAGCCAGGCTGGTCCACTCCTGCGGGACGTTCCTACTCCGTGCTGGGCCTACACGTCCAGGCCCCAGACCTCAGGACTGTGGGCCGGCTGCCTCCCCCAGGAAGGCCTCCGTGGCTGTCGAGGGACACTTCTGGCTTCTGGCTCCTCAGAGATGGCGTGCTTCATCATCTTCCCGCACAAGTTGTCCTGTGGACCTAGGGACTCTGTTTCCCTCGGGGCAGGGCTACGGGGCCATCGGTTCAGTATGTAATGTTCTTAGACACTGCCGAGCTGCTGCTCCAACGAATGAGTGTCTCGCCCTGCAGTCAGCAGGGCCTGGGAGCCCTAGTGGCTCCCTTTCTTTGCCCACGGTTACCTGTGTGTTCCCTGCAGCTGCGTAACAAATTACCACAGACTTGGTGGCTTATAGTGACACACATTTCTTCCATTTCTGTAGAGGGCCGACATGGACAAAAATCAAGGTGTCAGCAGAGCCTTCCTTTGTGGAGGCTCGGGGACAAATTCGTTCACATGGCTTTTCTAGCTCCTAGAGGCCACCCCCATCCTTTGGCTTGTGGCCCCTTCTTCCATCTTCAAGGACAGCAACATGGCCTGTCTGGCTGGCCTTCCATAGTCATGCGCCCCTTGCGTGGACTGCTACCAGGATCGGTTCTCCATGGGATTCATTTAGGCCGTGATCTGGGAGGATGATCCAGGAGAATGGGCCCAACGTCAGGCCTTAACTTGACTCATGTCTGCATGGCTCCTTTTGCCACTAAGGTGACCTCATCACACATTCTGGGGGAATAGGACAGGGACATATTTTGGGGTCATTCTCTTTACCGTGTTAATTATTTTTTTAAAAGAGCATGAGCAGGGTCGGGGTCGGGGGCAGGCGGAGGCACAGAGAGACTCTTAAGCAGGTTCCATGCCCAGCATGGAGCCTGACACAGGGCTCGATCTCATGACCCTGAGATCATGACCTGAGCCGAAACTAAGAGTCCCATGCTTAACTGATATTTTAAATTTTAAACAAATATTTTAAATTTTAGCCTTTCAGTGTTCATCAGAGTTTTAATTTGCATTTTCTCATATCTTTTCATGTGCTTATTGGCCATTTGTAGATTTCTTTCAGAGTCTATTTGAATTTTTTATCCATTAAAAAAAAAATGGGCTGTGTGTTTTCTTACTGAGTTCTTTCTTTATTCTGGGTGAGGTCATTTGGCCAGATAGGTGCACTGTGACTCTTCCCTTAGCCTTTGGCTTGCTTTTCCTGATAGGGTCTTTGGGAGAGCATGAGTTTCACCTGAAGAAATCTAGCTCGTCAGTTTTTTTGGTGTGTGTGTTTTTTTTTTTTTTTTTTTTTTAATGGTTCCTGCTTTTTGTGTCTGTCCAGGAGTCTGCGTCTACTCCGGATGGGTGGGGGGAAGCAAAGATTTTCTCCTCTGTTTCCTTTAGAAGTTTTATAGTTGTAGGTTTCATATTTGGGTCTCTGCTAGAAGCTGAGTTCTTTGTGGATTAAGTGTGCTAGCGACTGAGGCTTGTTTTTGGTTTTAGGTTTGGGATACTCAAGTGTTCTAGCACCATGTGGTGAATGACCCTTCCTTTCCCTAATTTAGTTTCCTTGGCATTTTTATCAAAACTCAGTCGACTGTGAATGGGTAAGCAAAACTTGATATAGCCCCATTCAGTGGAATATTACCAGCCATGAAGAGGCACAAAGTCCCAGCAAATGCTACAACCCAGGTGACACTTGAAAACATCAGCCAGGTGAGAGAAGGCAGACACAGAAGGCCACAGATAATATCATTTCATTTCTATGAAATGTCTGGAATGGGCAAGTCCATAGGGATGGAAGTGGTTGTCGGGCTAGAGCTGGGGTGATGGGAGTAGGAAGTGATGGCTTAATGGGTGTAGGGTTTCTGTTTGGGGTGATGAGAAAGTTCCAGAACTAGATAATGGTGATTGCTGCACAACACTGTGAAGGGAATAAAAACTACAGAGTAACACATTTTAAAATGGTTAAAATGGTAATTTTTGTTATGTGTATTTTATCATGCAAAAATATCACTTTATATTTCTGAGTCCATCCTCTCACTGATCTGTATGTCTGTCCTTGGGCTTATACCATACTGTCTGGGTTCGTGGCTTTATAGTAAGTCTTTAGCATTAGGTAATTCTAAATCTTTTTTTTTTCCCCCAAAATTACTTCGGCAATTGTATGTTCTTTGCATTTATATATTAACTTTTTAAAAAAGATCTATTTATTTATGAGAGAGAGAGAGTGTGTGAGGAGGTGGGAGGGGCCAAGGGAGAGAGAGAATCCCAGGAAGACTCTGCTGTGAGTACAGAGCCCAATGCAGGGCTGGATCTCAACAACCCAGAGATCATGACCTGAGGTAAAATCAAGAATTGGACACTTATCTGATTGTGGCACCTCGGCACCCACATTTATATATTAACTTTAAAAATCTGCTTGTCAGTTTCTAGAAAAAAGCTTGCTGGGATTTTTAAATTTTTTATTTTTAGTAGGCTCCATGCCCAATGTGGGGTTTGAACTCAGGACCCTGCAATCGAGGGTCACGCGTTCTGCTGACTGAGCTAGCCAGGCACCCTGCTTGCTGGGATTTTGATTGGAGTTACATTATAGATCATTTTGAGGAGAAACAGGCATTTTAACAATGTTGCATATGTTTTGTGACTACTGTGTAAAGTGTTTAAAAAACAATTCATTTTCCAATTGTTTGGTTACAACTTTACAGAAGCCCAGCTAATTTTTGTGTGTGGGCCTTGTATTTTGCAACCCTGTTAATAAAGTCACATTTCTTTTTTTTTTTTTTTTTTTTAAGTTTTTAAATTTATTTTCAGCGTAACAGTATTCATTGTTTTTGCACCACACCCAGTGCTCCATGCAATCCGTGCCCTCTCTAATACCCACCACCTGGTTCCCCCAACCTCCCACCCCCCGCCCCGCCCCTTCAAAACCCTCAGATTGTTTTTCAGAGTCCATAGTCTCTCATGGTTCACCTCCCCTTCCAATTTCCCTCAACTCCCTTCTCCTCTCTATCTCCCCTTGTCCTCCATGCTATTTGTTACGCTCCACAAATAAGTGAAACCATATGATAATTGACTCTCTCTGCTTTAAAGTCACTTATTTCTAGTAGGTTTTATTTTCTAAATTCCTTAGGATTTTCAGTATACACAGTCATTCCATCTGCAAATATAGTTCTGTTTCCTTTCCAGTCTTTTTCTTTCTTTTTTCTGTGTATTCCCTGGCTAAAGTGGCTGTAGTATTTTGCATTTCTACCGGTAGGAAAGTTCCAGTTACTCAGCTTTTTTTTTTTTTTTTTAAGATTTTATTTATTTATTTATTTGACAGAGAGAGAGAGAGAGATCACAAGTAGGCAGAGAGAGGTGGAAGCAGGGTCCCCGCTGAGCAGAGAGCCCGATGTGGGACTTGATTCCAGGACCCTGAGATCATGACCTGAACCGAAGGCAGAGGCCTAACCCATTGAGCCACCCAAGTGCCCCGTTACTTTGCATTCTTACTGGCATTTGCATTACCCATTTAAAAAATTTTGATCCACTCCAATATCTCCCTGTGTTTTGTTTTTTTTTTTTAAAGATTATTTATTTATTTCACAGACAGAGATCACAAGTAGGCAGAGAGGCAGGCAGAGAGAGAGGAAGGGAAGCAGGCTCCTTGCTGAGCAGAGAGCCCAGTGTGGGGCTCGATCCCACGACTCTGGGATCGTGACCTGAGCCAAAGGCAGAGGCTTTAACCCACTGAGCCACCCAGGTGCCCCCTCCCTGTGGTTTTAATTTGCGCGTTCTTAATGACTAATGATGGTTGAAGAGTATCTTTTTATGTGCTAATTATTAATTTTTGTTGTTAAATACTTTGTATTTTTAGCTGGATAGTCTTGAGTTGTGAGAGTTCTTTATATAGTCGGGGTGCAAGTCCTTTATCAGGTGTATGCATTACATTTTTTCCTAGTCCAAGGCTTTTAGTATCTTTTTTTTTTTTGTTAAAGTTTGTTTATTTTTAAGTCCTCTCTACATCCAATGTGGGGCCCAAAAGCACAACCCTGAGATCAAGAGTCACATGTTTCACTGACTGAGCCAACCAGGTGACCCAGCTTTTAATATCTTTTGAAACACAAGTTTTGAACTTTGATGAATTTTAATTTATCAAATTACTTCCTTAATGGACCATGTTTTTGATGTCATACCTAAATATCTTTGCGTAGAAGGCTATCAAGACTTCCTGTGTTCTCTTCTAAAAGTTTTATAGAAGTTTTAACTCATACATTTAAGTGTCTAATCCATTTTCAGGTTTTTTTTTTTTTTAAATGCTGTGAAGTAAAGGTATAAATTAATTCATTCCCTCGTTGAATTGTGTTGGCCTCTTTGCCGACAGTTGGCCAAAAATACGAGTTCATTTCTGGACTCAGTTTTGTTCTGTTGCTCTGTAGTATGTTTTTAGGCTAATGCCAACACTGTCTTCTTGCTGTAGCTTATAAGAAATCTGAAATTGGAACATGAACATCCTCTTATCTTCTTATTTTTCAAAATTCTTCTGGCTACTTTGGGTCCTTTGCATGAATCAGACTTGACTTACCAGTTTCTACAAAACTACCTGCTAGGATTTTTATACAGATTACACTGAATCCATGGCCTAGTTTGGGAAGAACTGTCATCTTAATGCTACTGACTCTTCTATCCGTGAACATGGAAATGGAAAATTGCTTTCCATTAAAATTATTTCCATTAAAGTTTCCGTTAAAATAAATGCTTTATGGGGCGCCTGCGTGGCTCAGTTGGTTAAGTGTCTGCCTTCAGCTCAGGTTATCATCTCAGTCCTGGGATCGAGCCCTGCGTCAGGCTCCCTGCTCACCAGGGAGTCTGTGTCTCCCCCTCCCTCTGCCCGTGCCTGCTTATGCATGTGCTCTCTCTCTCAAATAAATAAAAGTAAGTAAATAGTGTGCTTTTGCACATACCTCAGATTTGCTTATGTTTAAAGAAATATGGAGGAAAGGGTAGCATTATGGGTTAGATAGACAAACATATTTATCTTGTGAAAATGCTTCACCACTGAAAGCAAACCGGTCACCATGACTTGAGGCTGAGGAGTGTGCTGCCTAGTCCTTAGCATTTTTTGTCCCCTTTTCTTCCCATTTCCAGATTCTGGGGAGCAGGTCCTTGTGGATGTGGAGACCAAGAGCAATAAGGAGATCGTGGAGCACATCAAAAAAATCTTGGGGAAGAGCAAGTAAGTTGCTGGGGCTGACCTGGAGGGGAGCAAATGTCTCAGCACGGAATGAGGGAGGAAAGCGGGCGTCAGGAGGGCACCCACCAGCCAGAGCGCGCCGGCTGCAGAGGCCTTTCCATCGGGCTTTGCTGCTCCCCCGATCCCCAGCTGTGTGGCTGTAAGTCACGGAGACTGTGGGAGCTCTACCTCCCTGCCCTGTGAGGTGCCGGGTTAGAGACCTTCCTACGTCCTCGGCTCCATGGGAAGCTGAGGTGCTGTGGAAACACCTGCCTGGGCGGTTGCAGCCACCTGTCCTTTGGTATCTCTCCTTGGAGCTGGTGGGTGTCTGACCCCAGTATGTGTTAGGATCTGTCCTTTTTCTTTACATGGATGCAAAGAGGATAGGGAGGGAAGCCAAGAAAGTACGTTTTGGAGGAAGCACAACAGAGGCCTTTGCAGGCCTCTTCCTCCTGACCTTGTGCTGACTCAGAGCTGGGCTGTCTCTAGGCCGGAGGGAGGCTGACCACTGTCGTGTGGGCCCAGTGACTTGGGAGGCCCAGGTGGAGGGGTGGTAGACCTTGGGGTTGAGGGGCGGGTTGAGAAGCACGGGAGAGCCAGGTCTCTCTGGCCGCTGATGGGGTGCACTTGGCCAAGAAGTCCCACGTTGCCTAGAGGCTCAGGGCGCTGTTCCACACCTAGTTGCTGTCTGTGCTCTTTGGCAGGGAAACCCTGGAGGAGGAGGAGCAGGAGAAAAAGCAGCTTTCTCACCCAGCCCACTTTGGGCCCCGGAAGTACTGCCTGCGGGAGTGTATCTGCGAGGTGGAAGGGCAAGTCCCCTGCCCAGGCCTGGTACCATTACCCAAGGAGCTGACAGGGAAGTACAAAGCAATGCTGAAGGCCAGCACCCAGGACTGAGGCCCCAGGCCACACCCAGGGAAGCCCCTGGTTTTGTCCCTAGAGGGACTCTGAAAAAACTCTCTGCCATAAGAGGATCCCCTTCACACAGCTGTGTGAAAGGACATGGGAGGGTCGGGGGAGGATCTCCGCTCTATCAGGTCAATAAAAGGCTTCCTGGTCTCCAGCACGGTGGTGTGTGTCTGGTCCGATGGGCACGGGAGAAAGGCCTGCGTGGGGATGGGGAAGGTCTAAGGCCACAGCCCGCTGACATCCCTGTGTTGGTCCTGCTGCCCTCCCCTGGTCCCTGTTGGCTTTGATTCTTCTTCTAGGCCCTGCTCGGGAGTCAGGAGCTGCTGGGGTTGGATCTGGTAGGATCTGGCTGGAGCTAGGTGGTTCGCAGCGTAAGTCCCCTCCACTCAGGCTCTTTGGGCTTTTTCAGAAATCCCAGGGCGAGCCTTGCATCAGCGCTCACCTTTTAAAACTGAAGCCAACCCACTTTCCTCCCAAGAGGTCTGGCTGCAAGTGGTGCAGGAGGCCCCGTGACAGGCACAGATGAGACCAGATGCCGCCTCTCGCCAGCCCTGGGGCCCACTCACAGGTAGGTTTGCAGACCAGGAGGGGGGAAAGGCAAAGGGGCTGGCTGGTTGAGACTTTGGGGCCCTGCTCTGAGGGCTGGGGTTGGAAGCTGCCTCCGTCTGCCCTCTTGCTCACTCAAGCCTTTGTAAGGTTTGGAAGAGGGGTAAGGGTTTATGGAACGTCTGCCTAGTTCTTTCCTCACAGGACACGAATGCTATGGTCACTGAGTGATGCTGGCTTCAGCCCTCAGGCAACACCAGAGCCCTCAGGGATTGGTTACCTTAAGGTTTAGCTGGTCCGAACTGAAGGACCAGCTGACCTGGGGAGCTGTGGAGGTGGACATGGGGACTCTGCCCTGTGGGGGGTGGTCGGGGGGTAGATGGCATGGGAAATGATGTGGAACCAGAATGCTTTATATAAATGTTGGGGGTCAGCCCATTGGGAGGGATTTGGCTTCTTTTACATTTGATGCTCAGGTTGTGGTTTACTGTCACTTTGCATCAGACTGGCATTCAGGGGTTTGGCCGGTGGGCGCACATGCGCGTGTGCCGTGCGTTCTGGGATGGCTGCAGGCTCACCAGGATTGTGTCTAATCACAGGTCCGCACCACAGGGCACCCGGCCCGCCTTTTCCACTGTGGAGGATGAGCAGAGAGAAATCTGCCCTTCACTGTAATCCTTCTGTCTTGTTTCTAATGACCGCGCCCAGCCGACCACAGCTATGCTCTCAGCTGCTAGGGCTTTTCAGAAAGAGTCTGTTCCCTTTGGTCTGTCTGCACAGCAGGTGAGCCAGCATTAGGGGAGTACTCCTTCCACCCATAGCCCACAGGGGCCCGGAAAGGTTGCTGACCTGGAAACAAGATCCTCTTCAGAGAGAAGGGTCTAGTGCCTGATGGGACCGTGCCACCCTTCTCTTTACAGAGACTTGAAATAAGCACAACCAGCGGGCACGGTTATCGCTTTAAACCTTTGTCTTTTTTTTTTTTTTAAGATTTTATTTATTAAACCTTTGTCTTTTATTAACGTCTCGGTTTAGTAATGGTAAAAGATGAAAGATGGGTTTAAAATTTATAAAAACGGGAGGAAAAAAGTCTCTGAGGAGTTGATATCTGTTTCTTCGCACAAACGATGTTCACGTGGTTTTAGACCTTGTTCTTCTGAAGTGACTGATTTCGAGTACAACCTGGCAGGGCCTTTTAAAGCTATCTGGCTGCCTGATGGGTTCTGCCAAGAATCTGACTTTGGACCTCAGAATCCTCACTGGTAAAGTGAGAGGTCACATGACATACCGAGCAAGTTCTTTCCGACTTCTACAACTGGAAGAAAATGCTTTTATTCTGGATAGTTCTTACCCTTACAGGATGCAGTGCTGGTGCGAGGCCTGGCTCTGGAGCATCTGTGCTGATAGCCAGTGTCGTCGGGCAGCCCAGGGTGCTCTGCTCTGGAACCGGCTGCCTGGCTTTTCGACCTCCACACCAAGGAGTACACACCAAGGGCCTCTCCACCGGAAAAGGCCACACCTTTTCTGCTAAAGGTGTTTACAAGTCCAGTGGGCCAGCACATGGACTCTGAGAGGTAAGTCCCTTCGGGCTGAGGCTAAGGTGAGTGGAAAGCTGTGGCGCTCTGACCACGGGGGGCTTCCCCACCACCTACTTGGGTGAGAGTACGGTGCCCCCGGGGATCAGGCGTTACTGCTTTTACTGTTAGAAGAAAATGAGAAGATGCACATTTACTCTTTAATCCACTTTTTTAATAGTATAAACCTCATTTAGGTAGTAGTAGTAAGCCACAACAATAATGCCACATTGAAACAGCATTTAATAAAATGCATAAAGCTAATTCATGCACTGCAATACTCTATATACAAACACAACAATGCAAATTCTTCTTCAAGACTGAAGACACTGATTAGATATAAAATTCAGTTTAAAAAGAACATGCTATTTTTTAAATGCCATCACATAAACAAAGCTGATTTCAAGCTACAGCTTTCAACAGGTTTTAAACCTGGAATTAAAATGTAATGGCATAAACAGTATTTTCTATATTGTGAAGGGCAGAAGTTACAGAAACGGTCCCAAGAAATCTAACACCCGAATTTTCCTTTAACAGATGTCTTTTAAAAGGGCTGGTAATGCAGTTACATTTTAACAGAGAGGTCCAAACTACAGGTAAAAACTATGGTTTGTACTATGGAAAAATGTGCAGCTTTTCAGTTATAAAACTAGTTGAACACTGGTTTACAAGAGAATGGGGAGAACAGAGACTGTAGAAAAATATTCCAGCACTTGGGCTGTATGTGGCAGCAGCATCTGAGTCCAGGGATGCTCTGGTCGTTAAAATGGGGAGTGAGTATATGATCCTAAGACAAGCCATTTGTAACCTAAAAGTTACTACTTCCAAATGTTATCCAAATATGAAGCTTATCACAGTCTGTCAGTTGATAAATGTTGCCGAACATTTTTTCCCAGTATTTACAGCATTAGTTTCTATGCTGTATGTATAAATATTGAGACACCAGATTATTGGCTTCAGAACTGAAAGCCTAGCTGGGCTTTAAAAGTATCTCAGGAATTCCCCACCCCCAAGATACTCTTAAGTTCAAAGTTTAATTATTCTTAGATTGCTGTTAAAATATACCCTCCCCAAATGAAAATGTTTATTCTGAAGATTCATTTAGAGACTGTCAAGCTTCCTCTTGCATTTTAACTGGAAAGCCACCTTCCATAGCTTGATTGTCACAACAGGCAAGGGTCAAATAAGCATTGTTGGATGAGGCCAGTGAAGCAGCAGGAGCTTTTTGTTTGTTTGTTTTTAACATCCAATAGAGGGGAAGCTGAAGGCTAAATGACCCACGGTCTCACAAAAGGCACTGAGTACTATGGTCTCAATGAAGTGTTTTCAAACTATTTCAGTAGCTTATTTAAAAAAACAAACAAACAACAAACCATCACCAACAAAAAAACCCAGAAAACCTGTGGATTATGTAAGTGTGTGCAGTTCCCTGGGGACTCCCTTCAGCGGGCCAGCTTGCAGCCCTTGGCCAGGCAGGCCCCGTGTCCCAGGTCTGTAAGCAGCTCTGCTGGGCTGGGCCCTGGCTCCCGAGTGCTGTGTCTCAGTTTAAAGCCCAATTAGGGGGGGAAATTTAATCAGAATAGACCCAGCATCTGTAGCTTTAAGGGTACAAATAGCCATATTAAAATGCCATTTTATCTGAGAATTTTCAATTGATTTATAGAAAGGATTTATGTCAGTGGATTTTATTCACATGCTACAGTTAGAGAAGTGATTTGAAATTTGTAACTTCTATGCCATAAGTTAGTTATCTTATTCATGCTTATTTTAAAAGACTATTTGGCAGATTTTTTTCAACTGGCATTAGAGATAGGAATCAACATGTTGAGTCACAGGGCAGTGCCCGTCGATGGCTAAGTCCAGAGCAAGCATAGACCTGGGAAGCAGGCCCTAGCACATGGACCGTTCTGAATCTGTGACCATGAGGCTGATCTCTGGACCACATAACAGAGTATCTGGGAAAGCCAACAGCTCCAGCTGCCAAGTTCCTTCTGATCAGGCCATAAACAGGCAGCCAGGTCAAAGATCCCCCACCTAGTTTTCTTGACTTTAGGATAAACGGTTTTCTAGCTTCCTGGCCACTGTGTGAATCCAGAGAATATATAATACATAGCAATGTCCTTTTGTCAGGACCTTTTGTCTGGAACTTTCCCTGGTATAGGATGGAGATTCTGCCTCATGGCCTTTCCCAGCCAGGCTCACCCAAAGGAAAATGGAGTTAAAATATCAGCAAATTCATCCTGCTGAGGGACCTTGGAACACCCACATCAATGTACTTTAGCAACTCTATCATAGACTCTCTTTAAAACATAAGGGAACTTTGGATACATGGCTACATGTCTGTATACATAATATACATCTATGTACACATACACACACTATATACACTGTACATATATAGAAGATATAAACACATGTACATTCATTCAGTCATACAAGCCTATAAATCTGTACACGCACAATGCCGCTGAAGGGACCCCAGGGCTGGACACGCACAAGTGTGTGCCGGCAGGAGGCACATGTGAGGATGTCCAGAACCCTGTGTACAAAAGACCCAAACCCAGTCTGTCTCAAGGAGGGCTTGGCTTTATAAATTTACATCAAAGTTAAGACATTTCAAAGAGCCGTACAATCTAGACTGGAAGTGAGACAAAGGAAGCATATGGGCATCTGCCCGGCCTGCTCCAACCTTTCCAGGATCTCAAGGGCACTATCCACCCCCCCATGGCTGGGATGAAAGTGAAGGTAAGAAGATGACTTTTCATGGTCTAGATTTAGAGAAGAGTTGAAATGTCATCTACAGCCCCACTGTACATGAGGCCCTTTCTACCAGCAAGTGGGTGACAAGCTTCTGGACTCTGATCTGATCAGGTCCTGGAACTAGGATCCATAGCCAAGGGCTGGCTGAGGACAGGCAGAGGGCAGGCTGGGGACAAGACTGCTCTATTGGAAATTCCCCCAAAGGATTAGGATGTGTTTTTTTTCCCCCAAAATAAAAGCATTAGGTATATATAGCCCTTCCGATTCTTAGCTCCCTGCCGTGGCTGTCCCCGACACAGGCAAAAAGCGCTGAGTGAGTCTGTGCTGTGGCTGCAACCATGTCCTCTAGCCAGCGTGTGGCCACCGCCTAAGGGAGCCCAGGAGTAGGTACGTCCGTCGCTCTCACCGTGGCTGGTGGGCAACTGCCTCAGAGCAGAGTTCACATTTAATACTGACAAGCTAGAAGACAGTCCCTCTTGAGGGCATTTACATAACCTCTTACAACAAGTGACTACGCCTGTAATTAAATATAAAAACCCAAACCCTAAAGAACCCCAATTACAGCCTCATGGCAGAAGTTAGATAATAAATAATGGTTACCCCCAACAGACACACATACAAACTGCAAATCAGAAGGGTGGAATAACTTGGAAAGTATCATTTGTTTGGGTAATCTGGACTTATTTCTAAGTCTCTTCCTGTCCTGTTTTATGATTCTATGTAATGACCTCCACAGTTTCAACATACAACTGTCTAGCATTTATCTGAGATACCACTGGAAAAGGGCCCAGTTCATCAAGAAGCACTGATGCGTACTGCCACCTCCTTTCACTAGTGGACCCCTCCTCAAAAGGGAGGAAGGGCCAGGCCAGCAGAAGGGACATGTGGGCAGGCTGTGTGCTGAAGAATCTGTTGTTGGCTTATTTCACTCAGACTCTCAGTAGAGGACTGGCCTTCCTTAACTAAATCTAGACTCACAGACTACAAATGAGGGATAAAAGCCTTGTGAAAGCTGAAACTCAGTATTTGCTAGGGACCTCTTTAAATTAAGTTCTGGACTTTGGGCTTCTCTTAACCAATCTGACAAGATGGGACGGACCTGCTATCAAAAAGTGTGAAATGATTTGGGGGGCAGCAAGAAATCAGCTTGTGTGAACATGATCTTCAGGGAAGGGCTACTTCACAGTAAGGCCAAGAGGATCTGGGAAACTAATGAGTGTTCAAGGCCAAAATGGTCCACTGCAATCTGCCACCATCAGCAAAGGGACTCAAGAGGCAGGACCAGGTCAGAATCAACAACCCTCTAAGCCAGACTGATTTTTCTCCAGGGCTGTCCTGCCAGGGTCCAGCACTCACTCACCCACATGTTCAGTTTTTCTGCAGGTTGTCACCTTTACTCCAAAATCCTTCAGCAGTGGTGTGGTTGGGACCTCAGTTGAGGTCTTGGTTAAGCTGTCCCAGTATCTAATGGCAACCTGAGTCTATAAGCTGAATGGACATAGGACTCCCAGGGCCACCCCCAGGAAGAAGGGGTGGGCCTTTTCCCCAACACCGAGAATCAGATCTAGGAGATGTGACATAGCATGTAATCCCAGAGAACTGCTGTGTGATCAATAGACACGCTTACATTAAAAAATGAAAAGAGCAGAAAAGAGGCAACTTGCTTGTAAGATGCATAAACACGGTTGAAAATAGCCTCTGCTAAAATCCTTCCTGAGCAGAAACGAAACAGACCTGCCCTAACTGCACTGTCCTGGCTTGTTTTTGTTTTTTGTTTTTTTTTCTTTTTTCCTTAATTTTGAAATTTAAATCAAATTTAGAAAACCAAAAATTTAAGCTGGCAAAATTAAAATTCTTTCCATCATTTTATAATGGGCGCCCTTACTGTTTACAAAATTTGCTTCCAAGACAAGAACTACAAATAATACACTTAAAAACAAATAGGATTTAGAAGTTGGGAGATACTGTCCCCACTTAATTCCCACTAGACTTTCACGAAGTGCTGCTAACGCTTCAGCATAGAGCATTGTTTGTCTTAAGGCAGTGCCTGGCCGGGCACCCACACAGCACATGAGGCCCCACCTCGATGGCCTGAGCCAGGCCGAGAGTGCCTGAGAGGCAGGGGGAAGTGCACTGGGATCTTTCTAGATACCATGTGATCGAAAGATCTGGGAGACGCAAATTTCACTTTAGCTGTTTTCTTAATCTGGGCTATACGGAAAGGAAATGAAGAATACCTGACCGGGTCTTGGACATGGCACTTTTCCCAAGCAGGAAATGCCCGCTGCTCGCATCCATGGGAATTTATGGGTCTCTTCTCTAGAGAGAACTTCCTTATAACTGCATTCTGTTCTTGGAAACGATGGTTGCTATAACTTAAGAGAAAGAAGATAACTTTGGGAGTTAAGGTTTTTTTTTTCCTGTTGTTCTTTTTTGTTGTTTTGTTTTTTAAGAGCAGGTAGCCTGCTTCTGCATCCATCACCTAAAATGCTCCAGGGTTCTTTGCTGGCACACTCCTGGGGGAATCAAAGTGCACGGTGTACCAGTACCACTCAGAGAACTGCCAACAGAAGTGCTGAGTCTGGAGACACTGTGGAAAACCCTGATATTTAAGGTCAACCGAGAAACCTTCCATTCAGCTGCACCACCACCGCCACCCTGGCCAGGCAGCAAAATCCTGCACTGCCCCCCACCTCCTGGCCCCAAATCCCCTCACAGCTCCGAGTGAGCTGCAGGAATACAGCCCTTCTCAAGGGGACGTCTGGAATGGAAACCCTGTGAGAAGGGAGCCTTTGTACTCCGTCTGAACAGCGAGCAACTGCTCCCGACTGCATTCAGGAATTACTGTTGGGTTCAAAATGCCCACCTTGCACTTTTTGGTCAGAAGGCTCTGTCTGCCCTGAGTGGTGGAGGTGATGTAGGGATGCTTTCAGTTGCTGCACGAACTGACTGGTTGTAATCCAATTCTGAGAACCAGTCACGAGAAGGAGCCCCGGGTTTGAAGGAGCCTGCGGATGCCCGTCACAGACCAGAACCAGAGGTCAGGGAAGCCGACAAGTGTCATCAACTCGAAAGCCGAGGAAGCTTCCAGTTCGGGTCACCACCAACTGTGCCTCCACACTCCCACTTACTGCATGATACAGATGAGCCACATTTTCATTCATTCATAGGAATTTAGTTCACCACCACCAATGTGTGCATAAAATTAGGAATGATGCCATCTCTTCTTAAACATAAATGATTGTCTCCTGTACCCTAGTGCGTTTTCACAGGAATTATTAGCATTTCGGCAAAAGACATAAACAGTTTTCCATTTGTCCTGCCCAAGGGCAAGATGTTGCTAACATTACGCATTGATAAGAAGTGCTTAGAAAGTGCTAATATTATTACCCTGGTAATTAGTAGCTATTAATTCCAAGGACATTTTTAATATATATACACACATACTGTTCTCTTAGGTTCTTTTAGTTTTGTTTAATACTAGTCTCTGACATTATAAAACTCTGTTTTTTGCCCTTTGAGAATTTCTAAATACAAATTGGGTTAAAAGATTGTTCCAAAATCTGCTTCATCAAAAGGCATTAAAACATTTCTTATGGCAGGAAAGGATCCTACTAGTCTTTTAGTTGCTACTGTCTGTGATTAACAGGTAAGAAGAAACCAGGTAGGAAATGGCTAACATACTGGAAATATTTGCACATACCAAAATACCATTACTTTATTTTCTCGGTCTCTGAGCAGTCCTGGAAGGATCCTTTTGCTTCTCGGCAGGCATGTGGTGCTCACTATAGGCTGGCTCCGGTGATCTGGCCGTTATACTCTGCTGTCTCCATCTTGAGGATGTAGGGGATTATGCTGTCTATTGACACATTGCCAATGAGACCGGTAAAAAAAAGTTCTTCTGTTATGTTGGAGCTCATCAGCCTGAGTGCTGGCAGGCGAACAAGAATCCGGGCCAATCTGTAAAAGGGAGGGTCCTTAGAGAAAGGGGATTCTTTGCCCTTCAGACTTCTCCCTGGACAGGCTCCTGGGACCTTGTCTGCTCTGCTTGGAATTAAACCAAACAAACTGAACTTTGATCTACCCCTTGTATTCAAAATTTCAACAGTTCCTCTTAATAGGAATTTATCAGGAGAGAAAAAAAAATCAAAACTAAGTATAAAGATGTCTGTACAAATGCGTCCTCATTTTAAACAATTCTCCCCTCTCCCACCAAGAAAGAAAAATTTGAAAATCAATAAAGGATAGGTTAAAATAAAGTGCGGTGTGTCTCCATGTAAAAGATCACTATAGACCCACTAAAAAGTATGAAGAAGATGTGTTATCACTGGTAAGGAAAGAAGTCCATGATGTACAGGTTGAATAAAAGCAGACTGGGAAGCAGCAAGCACAGCGCAGTCTCACTGTGCAGGTCTGTGACATGCATACAAAAGTACTCATGAGGAGGTTCACTAAAATGTTAATGGCTGGCCTCTGGGTTTGGGGACTTGGGAGTGCCTTTACTTATTAAAACTTCTTCTCTTCCGTATTCCCCTAATTCCCACTGTCGTATAGCGTTATACTTAAAAATAAAGCATTAGATTATCTTCAGTTTGTAAACACCCTGTGTGGTAGGGCACATGGTGACCCTGTCGTGGTGGGCCACAGACATTGTATCTGAAGCACGTGACTATGTTCCACAGCCAGTGCACAGAACCATGTGTGCAAGGATGTTCACCGCAGGGCCGGCCTGGAAATAACCTTCATTTTCATCAATGGGAAAGTGTTAAAGAAATTACAGCATTTCCTTAGCCACAAAAGATGAAGTTTGCTCAGCTGAACATTACATGAACAAAGGGTTACAAAATCTTACTTTGTATTTTATGATTCCAATTACATAAATATAAAAACACTTCTGGAAGGAAATGCATAAAACATTAACAGGTATCTATGAATGGTGGTATTTGTATGGACATTTTCATTTTACTTTCCAGAATGTTGTAATTTTTTCTACAGGAAACATTGGTTTTTAAAAGAGAATACATCTATTACGCAAGCAGCCTTCCAGCACCTTCTTCCATCTGTCCAGCCACTGTGGTCTTGCAGGACACACAAAGGTATAAGGGGACACCAGCACAGCCCTCTAAAACTGGGCTTTAGAGGCTGGCTGAGGTTTCTCTCAGCAGAGATGTAAACAGTGGGGCTAGAATGGGAGAGTATTTCAGGAGGAGCAAATAGTATGAGAAAAGGCATAAAGATGGGAAAAAGTAAAATAATGAATGCAGAAACAGATGTCCACCATCCTAGAGCCTTTTTTTTTGGGAACTTTGAGCCGTGTGAGAAAGCCTCCCTTCTCTCATTTTTGGTCCCAAAATCACTTGGCTGGCCACCTCCTCCATCCCTGGGTCCCTGACTAGGTTTTTTTTTTAGAAACACCTACTTTCAAAGGCCAGAGAGCTGCTGTTGTCATGATGACCCTAGTGTGTTGTGGCCCTGCTAGCAGCCACCAGAGGGGCATTTCCATGATCTTCTGACCATGGGCATGGCGTGGGAGTAGGCCCATGGCTTCTCAGACGACAGCTTGCCCACATATCTGGCTGGATGTATGAACTAGGTGTGGGTGCGTTACCTGGCAGTCCCAATCCCCTATGTTCTGAGGCTGAAATTATGAGAGTCATGGTGAGGTTTTCAGTGATTCCAGGAGAAAATGGATCCTGCTTTGGCAAAAGGTGTGTCTGGGTCATGGAATTGTGTTTAAGGCAGAGAACGTTCTCTGCCATCAGGGCCAGCCACAGGCCCCCTCCAGTCACACCACAGAAAGGGTCTTCCTAGGACCTGGGGCATTTTCATTCCACGGGGTACCTATGGACTGAGGTCAGTGAAGGCAACACAAATAAAGAAGTTGGGGCCATGTATCTTCCTGGTCAGTTCTGATCAAGGGTTTACTTTGAAGGAAGCCGGCAAGGAAATACTAGTTTGCCTGATGTGAGCTCGGTAACTCATGTAGCTTCTAGTGGGTTGGAAGTGGTCATGATCAAAGAGCTCCTCCACTCTTTGCCTGAAAAGCCTGCCGGGCCTTCTACTTTAATTGAGAACAACTTTCCTATTGAGATTTGCATGAGAAAGGCTCCTGTGTGTATGTATACATACATATCTATGTGTATATGTACACATACATTTGTTGCCCAACCATTACAAATACTACAAATTAACTTTTTGCCCAAATAAAGGGACTTAAGAAAATCAATTACCTGAGGGCAAAATTACTATTTTCTATAGCCCACTCACTCATCTGTAGAGGTCAGGTTTGGCTTCTGTCAATGCAAACTCTTCTGTGAAGGATGCTGGCTCTACCTCTTAAGCGGATGCAGGCCAGAGGGGCAGGAGGCTGCTCTTCCGGGCAAGGGCATCCCTGTCAGCCCCCGAGGAAATCACACAGGAATGACTCCAACCCCTCATCGTGTTATGGAAGAGCAGCCCAAGGTCTTGCCCACTGTTTACCAGCAACACTGGAATGGCCCAGGATTCCGGACCCTCCCACCTAGCACTTTCCAGAGTTACCACCCATGAAATGCAGGAATTAGAATGTGATCAAAAGGAGGCTCTCCCAGCCTGCCAGGGGTGGGAAGGCTGCCAATTTAGATTTGCAGGTAGGCTGCAGCTGCGCTCCTTCCTGCCCCACAGGGAGACCGTCTATCTGTGTGCCTCACCGGTAGGTATCTTCCGAGTAGGTTTTCTGAACATAGTCCTGCAATTCCATCTGTGCCTTTTCTTGGAATTTTTCAATCTGGCTTGTGCTGGTCAAACCTGGGTGATCTGAAAAAAGAAAAGTGCCCCCAGATTGCCCCATGTATTTGGAAAGTCTCACTTGGCAGACTTCTTAGTACTTATTTTTAGTTAAACCTCTGACAAATTTCTCAAGTACAGTATAGACTGAACCCTGAAGGGGGGTCTGGTTTGGATATTACTGCTAAAACACTGGCTTTTGCTCTGTACTTGGCCAAGGCCTGAAGGTTACAAGGAGGGGGCTGGGCTCCTCAGTGGTCACACCAGCCTCAGCAGCCCCACCTGGCTTGCTTTTGGACACCTGGCTTCCTTCCACTTGAGAAAACAGAGTTTTAGAACTATCACCCAAGATTACAAATGATCCTTTACCTCCTACATATTTAATCACAGAATTTGTCCCATTTATATTGGCTATTTTGTTGTTCATGAGTGGATGGCTGGGGAGGAAGGGAGGGTTAAGCTGTGTCCAAACCCCGCTATCAAGGACAGCAGTCAGGACAAGAGCCAGCCTTAGTGACCTCTGGAGGTTTAGCGAGAACAGATGAGAGGGGGCAGTGAGGCCAGCTGGACAGTCCTGCCTCTTCTTCAGGTGCTAACCTACAGGGACAGCTGAACTTGGGCACTTTGAGTCTCTACTGGAGGACATACGCTAACAGCCTGAAAACTGGCAAAAAGGAAAGCAAAAGAAATCAAAACAAAACAAAAAAAGGACACTGAGGGGGTGCCTGGGTGGCTCAGATGGCTGGGCATCTGCCTTTGGCTTAGGTCATGACCTCTGGGTCCTGGGATTGAGACCCATGTGGGGTTCCCTGCTAGGCAAAGAGCCTGCTTCCCCCTTCCCCCTGCCTCTCTCCTCCGCTCATGCTGTCTAAAATGAAAAAAGAAAAAAGAAAAGAAAAATGGACACTGGATGGTAGTGTACTCTATTTGGTATGCCAAAGTCTTATTTGGACAATGGTTTAAATTAGGATACAGAATAAATCTATTCAACATATGAAGTCACCAGGCACCATGGCATATGTTTTTGGGACTATAAAGGTAGCAATTTAAAAGAACGTATGTGTTTATGTTGGCTAGCAAAGCACACCTATTAGGAGAACATTTGGTTACAATCTGGCTGATGACTTGACAACAGGTTCATGTTCAGAAATACCAGTAGACAGGTGGAAAACTTCTGAGTCCCCGCCACATATCTTACCGGGACTAAAGAGAACTATAGCTTTAAGGTATGCATACTCATAGCCATCTATATCCAACTTCGCCATACTGTTACAGAACTCCTGAAGCTTCCAGATGTGCTCCATGACTTGCTTTATCCGGTCTCCAGAAAGTTTATCTAGAAATGAACATCACAGAACCCCCTGAGAAAGGCTGGTAAGAACAATAACATTAGCTTCTTCGAGGAGCCACAGATTGAAAGAGAAAATTATTTTCCTTTTTAACGGAAAACCAGTTACCTTAAGATGGTTAAGAGCCTCATTTTCCAGGTGAAGGTGAAGTGACAACAGGTATACCCAAATGCCACTCTGCCATATATTCTATCTCAGCAACAAACTCCTAGACCATCGATTCTCCCTGGCCCTACCTTTGGCAGAGCCTGTAGGTACAAACTGATAATCCCCCACCCCCTTTTTTTAAAGATTTTATTTATTTATTTATTTGACAGAGAGAGAGATCACAAGTAGGCAGAGAGGCAGGCAGAGAGAGGGGGGAAGCAGGCTCCCTGCTGAGCAGAAAGCCCGATGTGGGGCTCGATCCCAGGACCCTGGAATCATGACTTGAGCCGAAGGCAGAGGCTTTAACCCACTGAGCCACCCAGGCGCCCCGTTGATAATCCCTTTTATTCTGTGCTTAAGACTGGTAAATAGATTCTTAGCATTGTCAGGCTAAGTTTATGCAGGCATTTAATAAAGGTTTATGGACCTGATCATTAAATGCTGACATTTTTTTAGCTGTGGAAACAATTTTATATGTTATCTGTTTTAATCTTCCTGACAACATTTCCTGAAGATATTGGTATTATCACATGCAGTTAAAAGATAAAGGATAATCCAGGATCTATAAAGAACTTCTCAAACTCAACACACACAAAACAGATAATCATGTCAAAAAATGGGCAGAAGACATTAACAGACACTTCTCCAATGAAGACATACAAATGGCTATCAGACACATGAAAAAATGTTCATCATCACTAGCTATCAGGAAGATTCAAATTAAAACCACATTGAGATACCACCTTACACCAGTTAGAATGGCCAAAATTAGCAAGACAGGAAACATGTGTTGGAGAGGATGTGGAGAAAGGGGAACCCTCTTACAGTGCTGGTGGGAATGCAAGTTGGTGCAGCCACTTTGGAGAACAGTGTGGAGATTCCTCAAGAAATTAAAAATAGAGCTTCCCTATGACCCTGCAATTGCATTACTGGGTATTTACCCCAAAGATACAGATGTAGTGAAAAGAAGGACCACCTGTACCCCAATGTTTATAGTAGCAATGTCCACAATCGCCAAACTGTGGAAAGAACCAAGATGCCCTTCAATGGACGAATGGATAAGGAAGATGTGGTCCATATACACTATGAAGTATTATGCCTCCATCAGAAAGGATGAATACCCAACTTTTGTAGCAACGTGGACGGGACTGGAAGAGATTATGCTGAGTGAAATAAGTCAAGCAAAGAGAGTCAACTATCGTATGGTTTCACTTATTTGTGGAGCATAAAAAATAACATGGAGGACATGGGGAGATGGAGAGGAGAAGGGAGTTGAGGGAAATTGGAGGGGGAGATGAACCATGAGAGACTATGGACTCTGAAAAACAATCTGAGGGTTTTGAAGGGGCAGGGGGGTGGGAGGTTGGGGGAGCCAGGTGGTGGGTATTAGGGAGGGCACATACGGCATAGAGCACTGGGTGTGGTGCATAAACAATGAATTCTGTTATGCTGGGGAAAAAAAAAAAGATAAAGGATAATTAAGGGGTGCCTGGGTGGCTCAGTCGGTTAAGCATCTGACTCTTTGATTTTGGCTCAGGTCATGATCTCAGGGTGGTGAGATCAAGCCGTGTTGGGCTCCTTGCTGGGTGTGGAGCCTGCTTAAAATTCTCAGGGGGAAAAAAAAAGAAAAAAGAAAAAAGAAAGATTCTCTCTCTGCCCCTCCTCCCCCACTCTCTCCCTAAATAAATAAATAATAACTAATTCTCATTTGTGAACAAATCTAACTTATATATAACAAAAATCTAACATATATAACAAAATGTTATAGGGTTTAAAAAAAAATCACTTTTAGGGACGCCTGGGTGGCTCAGTCCGTTGAGCATCTGCCTTCGGCTCAGGTCATGATCCCAGGCTCCTGGGATCCAGTCCCACATCGGGCTCCCTGCTCAGTGGGGAGCCTGCTTCTCCCTCTCCCTCTGCCTGCTGCTCCCCCTGCTTGGACTCTGACAAATATATAAAATCTTTAAAAAAGTGTAAATTAAAAAAATCACTTTTATATTACTATTCCAAAAAAGTATTAGACAAAGTTATAACTATTCACTTGAATCGTAGATAATCAAACATCTCGAATGCTTAGTTAAAAGTGTAGCAGCTGCAATTCAGCATCAAGTATTAGTCCTGAATCCTGGGCATGCTGCCTTGAGACCATGTCTTTGGTTCACTCTAGACTCAGAGGACGTGGATAGACTGCACTGGCTACCTCCTGGTCCAGATGCAGTTGGGACTAGGCCGCCAGACATTAGATGGTTGCCACAGATCTTTCTAGAAGACAGTCACTTGTTCATTCATGAGAGCAAGTGCGTGAGGCAACTATGTTCTGGACTAGGGGTCTGTGTGGCCCAAGTTTGTGTTCAGCTCTTCCACTTGCTGTTTCACTTGGGGAAAACCAGGGACCTAACTGCACACAATCCCTTTAGGGCTCTGAGAATTTGTTACAGAGGAAAGGGTAACCCATTGTGAGAACAGAAAATATGTATTGGTCTCTGACCCCGGTTCCTGACACAGAGCTCTCAAAGTCCTTGTAATTTCTAAGTGATAAGAGCATTAGCAGCATCTGTTGGTCTAATATATATATATATATTTTTTAAGATTTTATTTATTTATTTGACAGATAGAGATCACAAGTAGACAGAGAGGCAGGCAGAGAGAGAAGGGGAAGCAGGCTCCCCGCTGAGCAGAGAGCCCGATACGGGGCTCGATCCCAGGACCCTGGGATCATGACCCGAGCCGAAGGCAGAGGCTTTAACCCACTGAGCCACCCAGGCGCCCCTAATACTTGTTTTTGACCTTATCACTGACAAAGAGCTCCTCCAACCCTTGTAAATTTCTAAGTGTTAAGAGGACTGGGAGCATATTTTGTTCCACTGAGGTATCTCTGGGTGGGACCCCTAATGGCCCCCGGGGAGAAAAGGAACGCTCAGAAGCTTGGCATTTCCAGCTCTATCCCTCATCATCCAGAGAGGGGAGAGGGGCTAGAAATGGAATGAATGATGGATGGAGTTCAGAGAGCTTCCAGGTTGGTGAACACACACACACACACACAGCAAGAGTGAAGCACCTCAAGTCCACAGGGACAAAGGCTCCTGTGCTTGAGACTCTCCTAGACCTCACCCCATAGAGCTCTTCATTTGGCCGTTCATCTGTATCCTCTATCCTTGAGTTCTGTGAGCTGTGCTAGTGAATTAATCCAACCCAAGGGCTGCTACAACCTCCAGTTTATATAGCAGGTTAGTCAGAAGCACAAGTGATAGTCTGGATACGTGTGTGTGTGTGTGTGTGTGTGTGTGTGTGTGTGTGTGTTGGGGGGAGGATCTTGTGGGACTGAGCCCTTAACCTGTGGGATCTGACACTGACACTATGTCTGACAGTGACAGAATTGAGTTAAATTATTGGATACCCAGCTGGTATCTCAGAGAAGTGCCTGTTGTGGGGAAAACACCCACCACACTGGTGACCACATGTGTCAGAAGTGTTCTGTGTGAGTAGTAAAGAAGACACGCAGGGAAGAGAAACACAGTAGGTAAGAACTGTATTTTTCTTTCACCCACACAAGTGAAAAACTACAACTTCTTCCATTTATAACCATCAATCAAGATGAAAGTATAAGCTGTGATTACTCTGAAAACATCACTAAATGCCTATGTATCAGGAAGCTGGCAACTTTTCCAATTATCTTTTTTTCCCCTTTCATATTCCTTATATGAAGACAGTCAAGTGGGAATTTAAATGTTCTCACTGGTGAAGACCTCAGGACTTCAAAGTTAAGCTATGCTCAGCATGTGGAAGCTGTGGGATGCCGCAGCTGGCTAGTTCGCAAGGGGCCGGCCTGAACCGAGACACAATCCCCCACAGCCCCAGCCCTACCTTCCTGGATGCTGTTCTGCAGGTGGTTGACAATGGCTGCCAGGATAGTGGAGAGACTCATGACCTGGGCACACTGGGCCAGGCCAAGGGTGAAGAGCTCGTTCCAGCAGGCCCGCACCAGGCTGGTGTTGCAGTCCTGCCTGGGGACACAAGGTTGGAGTGGGTGTAGGTACATGCTGGTATTCTCCTGGTCCCAGCTTGCCCCAAACAAGTAGATTCAACAAATATTTCTTGAAAGTCTATGATAAGTCATTTTTGGATCATTCTCCAGAAACACCACTGTCTGTGAATCTCTTAACTAAAGTCCCTCTGAGGATAAACTATTTTCTTAACAAAGACACTTTAGACACTTTAAATTCAGTAATGAGAAATCGAAATGGGTATACTAAAGTGTCATCTCCTATAGCCTTCTAAACCCACAGTAGCCCTGGTATGGCTGTCAGGAGATGCTGCAGCAATCCAAAGGCTAGGAGCCGAGCGTGGTCTCTGAAGGGGGCTGGGAGACACAGCCTGAACCTATGCTCGAGAACAGAGGGCCTGCAAACGCTGCAGGGGAGGAGCTGGCACTGGAGCACAGAGGAAGGGGCCAGCCACGTCAGCTTTCAGCCCTGCCTTGGAGGATCTACAACCAGGATGGCCTGGTTGGTGCCCTGTGAACGGTATGACCTTATCTGAGAAGCCCCCAGACGCAGTTTCACTCTACTTGTCTCAAGATTTCAGATGACTCCTGCCTTCTGTTCCACTCGATCCCTGGCTCTTAGCACCAAGTCCTCAGCATATGGAGAAGGCCTAAGAAAAGTCTGAGGAACATTGAAGCACTGGCAGCCATGGTCCTCTGCTCCCAGTCCACGGAGTATATTTAATACAAAAATCAGCATCACTGGAGCAAGATGATAGGTACAAACTAGAAGGGTCCTCAGATACCTTCCAGGCCATTCCTAACAAAGGGAAGACTTTTGCTAAAGGATACACACAGAGAAAAAGGCCACTTACCCAAGTGCCTGAAAGGCTGGGATTGACCTGGCCCAGTGCATGGAGAGGAAAAGCAGGCGGGATGCTGACTCGCAGATGTAGTGCACATTGAGGTACTCTGGCATCGGGCTAGGCATCGTGAGCTGGAGAAGGGGAGGCACACAGCACAGGAGGTGACGGAGACAGGGCATGGCTTTGTCTGTCAATGTGAACTGCTGTCGTGTCTCAACAGAGAGCCTAAATTGTGGTGACCTCTGATGCTGAAGTTCTGGGCAGATCCCCCGATGAAGCCTGCGTCCTCTGCAGCAGGGGGCTGGCACCAATGCCCAGTGCTCCCTGGCCCAGTGGACTAGGCTCTCGTGGCCCTTGCAATGTGGTCAATGATGCTGACCTCCCAGGTCACTCACATAAAGACATACTTTTCAACTCTTGCCTCAGCTAAATCGGTATTTCTTCTAAGGCAATTCTACTTTGAGCCATAGGTTAAAATCTAAATTAAATCAGGGACAGGGGTCAACTTCACAGCTAGTAGGCATCTGGCAGGTGGTGGGAGCTGAGCAGAATTCTATGCGGTGGGAGGCTGAGATCCCACCACCGAATGTTCAGGACTGGGCTCTCGAGCTCCATTCTCCAGAAGGGGAATTAATGCCTTTGATGCTGGAATCCCATTGATGACCTATATTCTTGGCACTGGTGGGCAACTATGAGCAGAGACCCAGTCTTAAATGATTGGTTAGGCCTCTATAGTAGAGAACACAGAGGGAACAGTCTGTAGCCCTAGAAATCGAGAGGGCTTTGGGGAACGTGGGAGTGTGTTTCTGAAGTGAGGCCAGTGAAGGAGCATGTGGGGAAGACTAACATCCTTCTTTAAGGAGACAGGAGATCTGTTTTCTGTGGCTCAAGACAGCAAGCAGTCAGGACCAGCAGTCAGGGAACGAGGGCTGGCTGCCTGCATGCTGGAGCAGACATGTGCCTGTCTGAGCCTATGCTGGAGCCCGGCCGTCTCGGAAAGCAGAGGAGGCAGAGCAGTCCACTAAAAGCCCTTGCTGGGTGGCACCATGCCGGCCCCTCCTGGCAAGGATAGGCCACGCCTGCTTCAGGGTGTTACCTTCAGAGCCAAAACACTATGAGCAAAACACAAGTGACAATTCTTTCTAATGAGAATAGTGTTCTGGCACACAAGGTCTGGATCCAAACAAAAGCCAACAATATGAAAGATTTTAGCTTCAAACTGCAGGCTGGGGAGGCTGAGGCATGTGGCTGACTGAAACCACTCACCTTAAATGTGACATGAGTGTCTGAAAGGAGGGGCCCTTCGACCTCAATGATGGGTGTGGACTGGTCTCTGCTGATCACGTGGATGCCTCCTCCTCCACTGGCGTCTATCCCATCTGCTAGGCTTGGAGGTGAGGAGCTGTCTGTGGTATTAAGTGCTTTAGCTAAGGTATCAAATGCCCTGTGAGCAAAAATGAAGCAGGCAGTATTGTAAATCCACAGTTTTAGGAGGAACAGAAGAATTCTAGCTGATCTAGAATTACCTAGATCTAGAGAAACAATGCAATGGGGAAAAGATCATTCAAGTCTATCTGCTGGGGGACACGATAACGAGAGCTTCTGAGGATAAATATATCGCTTAGTACCCGTGATCTACACATCATCACAGGTACTAAGCGATATATTATTTATTTTCACACATAATTTCCGTTTTTCACAACTACTCTCCAAGGTAGAACCCTCTGCATTTTACAGATGTGAAAGCTGAGGCGTAGAGATGTTAAATAACTTTTCCAAGACCAACCATCCAGTAAGCAGTGGAACCAGAACTCTACCTAACTCAAATCCCATTCTCTTTCCATTGGATCTAGATCTTAATTTTGCTATCAGACCTCAAGAGAATTATGAGGACCGGGGTGTTCCTGTGGCCTCCAGCTGTGCATCTGCCCAGCCTGGCAAGACAGGAAAGAGTGGCCAGTCCCGCAGGGAAAGGGACAAACATGAGAGCTGGGCGGTGGGGAAGAAATGACGTCTGCAGCCAGTTACTCGTGTCTGAGACCAGCTAATGCCATCTGTCAGCAACACCCTGAAAGACTAAAGCTCTAGACTATTTGGAAAAAAATATACATGAGAAAAACAGGCTAAAACAGAAATGGGAAAGGAGATGAACTATTAATGTTTAATCAAAATAAAGACTGATACAAGTCACACCTGTCTACTGAAGGGTTTTCCCTGCTTCCACTGAGTCACTCCGTCTCCTTTTTCATTGTTTGGAATGAAAAACAGTTTTGATTGTTTCATATCACATAATATAAATGGGTCCATGTTCCCATAGTTACAATGTTAGAAAGAAGACAGGCGAGCAGGAACACGGTGACGACTTTACAATCCCTGATTCAATACGGGGGTGGGGGGGGGGGGGGGGGGTGAGACTGCCGCCGCCCGCCCTCAGGCAGCGACAGAGCGTGGGCCTCACTGGGGCGCCGCCACACTCACGGCACCGTACCGGGTAATTTCACTCGCAGACTGGTCCTCCGGCTGCATTTCCGAAGCATCACCATTGTTCAGGGATTCACTTAAGTTGGCAAGGGAGGTTACTACATTTGCCAGCGTGCCCAGAGCTCCCTGGCTTGTTTCAGCCTATTAAACACAAAATAAGAACATTAAAGATGAACACAAACACACACACAAAGGGCTCTCAGGCCAATGAAGGTATAGTGTTAGTTTAAAAACAGCTTCTATGGGGTGTGACCTTAACAGGGCAGGAGTGGGGGGAGATCTTTTTGGTGATGGAAGAGTTATGTGTCTTGATTGTGGTGGTAGTTACACAAATGTACACATAATAAGGTAATGCAACAAAAACAGACAAATTGGATGCCACCAAAATTTAAACTTTTGTGCTTTAAAAGGTATTAAGAAAGTTAAACGGGATGCCTGGCTGGCTCAGTCAGTGAAATGTGCAGACTCTTGATTTTGGGGTTGTGAGTTAGAGCCCCACGTTGGGTGGAGAGATGGCTTAAATATAAAATCTTAAAAAAAAAAAAAAAAAAGGCTATTAAGAAAGTAAAAAGACAACCCCTCCCCTTTCCACACACAAAAGACAACTCACAGAATAGGAGGTATTTGCTTGCAAATCATTCATCTTAATAATGGTTTAGTAACCAGACTAACTCTTATAGCTCAGTAATAAAAAGACAAATGAGTTTTTAAAAAATGGGCCAAGGATTTAAACCGGCATTTCTTCAAAAAGGATATACAACTGGCCAGTAAGTACATGAAAGGATGTTCAACATCACTGGAAATGCAAATCAAAACCACAATGAGATACCATCTCACACCCAACAGGATGGTTATAACCAAGAAGACAATAATAACAGGTGTTGGGAGGACGTGGAGAAAGTGGACCCTCACACACTGCTGAAGGGAATGTGAAATGGTGCAGCTGCTGTGGAAAATGGTCTGGCAGCTCCTCAAACAGTTTAAACACAGAGTTACTGTATGACCAGCCATTCCACTCCTAGGTACATACATAAGGGAAATCGAAATGTACCTCCACAAAAAACTTGGTCCAAATGTTTGTAGCAGCACTATTCATAATAGACAAAAGGTAGAAACAACCCAAATGTTCATCAGCTGATGAATGGATAAATAAAATACAGCTGAGCCGTTCAATGGCTTAGTATCTGGCAATAAGAAGGAATAAAATGCTGACACATGCCACAACATGGATGAACCTCGAAAACATTATGTCAAGAGAAAAAGTTAAGTCACCAAAAGCCAAATATTGTAAGATTCCCTTTATATGAAATGTCCAGAATTGACAAAACCATAGTCAGAAAGGAGAGTAGCAGTTGGCGTGGGCTGGAGTAGGGGGAGGGGGGAGTGAAAGCTTAACTGGTACAGGGTTTCTTTTTGGGGTGATGAAAATATTCTAGAATCAGGCCGTGGTGATGGTTATACAGCCTTGTGAATATACTAAAACCACTGAACTGTGCACGGAAAGTGTGAGTTTTCTGGTAAATGAACTGTATCTCAATAAAAAAAGAGGAAAGCCAAAGACATATAGACACAAGTGTCTGTTGTGTCTAGATCATGAAAGTGAAAAACTAGAACAGTGGAAGAGACCCTAAGCACAGCACTGTTTCATAAACCCCAGAACCACCACGGAACAGAACACGGTGCAGATGCTAAAAGATGTGGGCCATCACGACGGAGGGACACATGGCAGGAATGGGAGTGAAGTGAGAAAAGACAAAGACCAGGTGGCCCGCACCGTGAGGGTGTCGTGTCCTGGGTGTTGCGCTGCGCGGCAGGCCTGCTGCAAAAATGGCCGGGGGCGCCCGTAGAAAGGTGGCATGGGATCTCTGTGAGACTCTGTATTTAGTCCAAGCACACTGTTTTGAATTTTAATGATTTCAAAGTCGATGGCTGAAACACAGCTTCTGAAAAGAGCTATCTTTAGGTGCTCTGTCTATCCTATCATAACAACCTCCTGGGGTGGGTCTGGTCACGTCCACAGCACAGAGGCAGGAACGGGGTGGAGCACATGTCGGACTCTGCGGCAGCTTTCTCTTCACTACTACTTACATAGCACACGGTGTCTGTCCCTTCTCTTCCATCCAGTGACCACGACTAACTCCTCACTTAAGGAGAGCTCCCTGCACGCTGCCAGCCTTAGGAAAGGAACTTACTCTAGTTCCCCTGCGCCACCGTGTGGCGGCACCAAGGGAAGCAGTGATGGAGGAAAGCGGGCGAATGGCTACCAAGAGCGGCGCTGGGCTCTGGACCCAGGACCTGCCGACTCTGGAGTCTCTCGGTTCTTAGTCTCGGTCTCGGCGTGGATGGCACAGCAGAAGAGCTGCTGTGAAATCCTTTGGTAATCAGGTCTTAAGGTTATTCGGGCCTTCCTTTCAGGCTTCTGGTTTCCCTCTATCCCACTAGGCACCCATCACTGTCCTGAGTGTCAACTTGACAGCAGCAAACCAGGTGTGATGGCCATGTCGCATGCAGCACTAGGGCCCAAAGACAGGAAGCTCAAGGCCCAGCCTCAGGACCACAGGATGGAGGGCCCTGATGCCCTTCTTTCCCAAGACAGGCTGTTCTCATGTACTGAGTGGGTACAGCGATGTGCACGTGAATGGACTGGAAGGAAGCCTGTGGGTAGGGCCGCTCTGGCTCTCAGGGCAGTGAGCAGCTCCGCCAGCTGAGATGAGAGATATAATCCATTTTCTTGCCTGGATAAAACCCCTGTCCTTAGTTATCTTCATGGGGATTAGCCAGCTATCTCTCTCCTGGATTGACAAACACCTCTGTTCACAATATGTTAAATTCCCTATGGCTGATTTGTTCTTAGTTTTGCAAATTGTCAGAATCCTGACTAAACTTCCTCCTGCAGATCAACTAATTAAAAAGAATGGGGTGGGGGTGGATAATGTAACACTGTGTGTCAACCATACGTCGATTAAAAAAAAAAAAGATGAACTAGGGGCTTTTGCAAAAGGCCATCTGAGGATAAGCAGCCATTTCCCCAGCACACCTGTAGTTTGCTAATGTGTGTACTGGGGTGGGGTGGGGGTGGTTATCGAGACGAGAGCCACTGAGTTTTCACCAAACTGAACTCTAGACCCTGACATGTAATAATGACTATAACCAGCCAGCCCTGAGTTTCTGAAAAGCTGTCAACATTCCTAAAACAAACCATAGGATGGCTATATAAGAAGAAGTAAACAGAGATGCAAAAGGCCAAGCTAGCAAGGTAGTCTCAGAAGCCAAGAACGGAGGGGCACACATTCAAAGAAGCAGTCTGCACTGCAACACAGAGGTGGAGGAGAGAGTAAGTAGAGAACATCACCTTGGAATCCGTGGCCAGGAGAACTGTACCATCCTCACGTATCAGAGGCTGCTGGATGTTCACAAGCATCCCTGGATCAAGAAGACCTGTTTGTCTATTTAAGACATAAAGAAACCCAGAGTAGCTTCCAACATTTAACACACAGTATGATCACACTGCATTGCTCTGTCCCTTCTACAGCCGCAAAGCTGCCTGAATAGCAGAAAAGCTCTAACTCGACTCAGTTATCGAGTGACTAAACCATCACCCCTTCTCTCTAGAATGAGATGAGGCACAAAGCTGGGCCTACAGCCTGAGACAGGATGCCACACAGATACACATCCCCTTGGCTTCCACGCTGACCACAGACTGTAGCCGCTTTGTTAAATAAAGCCAATGTGATCTTCAGAATATCACCAAGAATCCTCAACTCTAGTTCTTGCTAGGATACAGTTTGGATTTCTTGTTTTCCCTTTCTGTAATGAAGTTCAATAGATTACATGGAAAAAAAAAAAAAACAAAAAACATAGACGTCAACTTGTGTTAACTCTTCACATTATTTGGGACTACCCTGGGACTTGGGCCTTTTGTCTATACTGCAGAAAAACCCCATCTTGAATTGCAGAGCAACATATGAATAACTACAGGACACAACCTGAGACCCCCAGGCAGGAGAAAAACCCCATCTTCAGGTCCATCCACAGGTGTGACTGGAGCAGCTCCGAAAAGGGGCGAATGAAGCAAGACAAAGCTGAAGGCTGGGACAGTGGGGAGGGAGCCACATAAACTCCTTCCAAGGAACATCCAGGCCTCCTCTGATCAGCTCAAAGGCTGATGGTAGTGTTGCCCTTTGTCAAAACAGAGACTGACCTTGCTCCATCTTTATCTGCCACAAATGTGGGAGTGGCTATCAGAGGACTTCTCAGGTCCTTCCGGATATAGATTTTCTCAGTTGAAGCAGCACAATTGCTTGGTTTCTCCCGTTGTACATCAAAGGGCTTCCGTTCACTCTGCACAGCTTAAATCACAACATAAATATTCATGTTTAGATGAAGAAGTCATTACAAATTACATCCTTCATAGTAAAGTCTTCCTTAGTAAGTCTGCTACTATAGGGATGATAAACTCTGGTGCGAGACACATCCAGCTCAATTTTCAGAGGGCTTTTTAGCCAAAGGGAAGAAAAGCTCAAAGCCAAACAAGGCCACTCGAAGTCTAAAGAGTGCAAACTCACTGCCTGCTAAGAAACTTCAGCATGGCCTTGTGGGGGGTCCACACGGAGCTCTCCTGGTTTTCACTTTTTGTTGCTCACAAAAGGCACTTTCCAGGAAGGGAAATCTTTATCCATCTTTTTTTTTTTTTTAAGATTTTATTTATTTATTTGAGAGAGAGACAGTGAGAGAGAGCATGAGAGGAGAGAAGGTCAGAGGGAGAAGCAGACTCCCCGTGGAGCTGGGAGCCCGATGCGGGACTCGATCCCTGGATTCTGGGATCATGACCTGAGCTGAAGGCAGTTGCTTAACCAAATGAGCCACCCAGGTGCCCGTCTTTACCCATCTTTAAGTGGGCCCTTAACAGAGAGCTTGTCCAGGGCCACGTGTCATAGAGAACCATTCTAATGTTCAATTCAAGCCTGCATGGCTTCTGCAAATTGTTTAATGGGGTGTCAGCTTTCTGTAATACTAGCAGACTCTCCCTCCAGCAATCTGGTCCGAGAGAACTACATGGGCCAGAAACAACTGAAGGAAATAAAGATCTTTTTTAAAAAAAAGGAAGATAGTACAAACCCCAGATCCAATATGTAAGAAAGCTAAGGGGTCCTTTTTAGACAAGGACGCTGTGGCTGAGAGAGGTGCCATATCTTCCCCACGCCTCACAGCTCCGAAGTGGCAGAGCTGTGGTTTGATACTCCAAAGCCTGTGTTCACCCCACTGTGCTGAGCTGCATGCCGAGTTATCTGGGGGAGGCTTCCACACACATCATGGGGAATGGCCAATCGCAGCAGCATGGGTGCTGGACCACCTAGCTGACCGAGAAGGGAAACAACAGGAAGCCTCAGTGGATATTTTCCTCTTAGAGTATTTTAAAGCCAGGTATAGAAATCTCGCTTCCTCCAACTAGCTAACTCAAGTGGCTTGCTCACAGTTACTCACATTCCATCTTCATGCCCATCTCTAAGCATTTTTTCAGCCGGCAAAACTGACAGCGGTTCCGGTGGTGTTTGTTTATGATACAGTCTTGGTTGCTCCGGCAGCTATAGGTCAGATTTTTCCTTACACTCCTTTTGAAGAAACCTTTGCAACCTTCACAACTAACAGCCCCATAGTGACGGCCTAAAAGGAGAAAGAGTGTGTGAAACAGATCACCAAGAGAAGAGGTGGTCCATCAAAGGCCCGTTTCTAAGGGAAGGCCATCAAAGTGACCAGGGCATGGTATCTGGTGCGGGCAGCCATGGGACAACCACGAGCCTGGGCATGAAGCACGGCACTTAGGTGTTCCCCTAATTTTCCTATAATCTTTTTTTTTTTTTTAACATTTTACTTATTTATTTGACAGAGAGAGTGATCACAAGTAGGCAGAGGCAAGCAGAGAGAGAGGAGGAAGCAGGCTCCCTGGCGAGCAGAGAGCCTGATGCGGGGCTCGATCCCAGGACCCTGAGACCATGACCTGAGCCGAAGGCAGAGGCTTTAACCCACTGAGCCACCCAGGTGCCCCTCCTATAATCTTTAAAGTAGCCCTGTGACACCATGATAGAAAAACAGAAGCTCCGATAGGTTACATGACAGCTGGTAAACGGCATGGCCTTAATGCTTTCAGTACACAAAGGACCTAACATGCAGCAGGAGCTCCTGGAGGATGGCTAAGCCGTACTGCCTGCCATGCACACCTGGTCCTGGCCCCACAGAGCCGGCCTCCTGAAGCCTCCCAGTGCTCCTATCCCACCAATGGTGGCATGTAGCAGAAGCATGCGTGTGTTGTTCAAGCACCCAGGGTCCGACTCCTCCCTTTACTCTCTTGGTGTGAATCAGGTCCTGGGCCCTAGAGCTACCCTGGGGGAAGTACGGGGGCTGTGGTTATGTAGCCCCAAGGTGAGGGAAGAGTACATGCCGTGTGGCTCACTTTGGTTAGGTATTCAGACTCTTGGAAACACAGTTCTAGAAATACATTTATTACATACAGTTCTTTTTTTCTAATCTGTACTTTGGTGTCTCTAACTTCTAATGACCAATGACATTAAAAAGAGCCCCCTACCCCAGGGCACCCTCCCAAATACACCACACGCATCACCCCTCCTTTGTTCCCAGCTGGCAAAGAAACATGGATAAGCTCTCCTGGTTTGATCTTCCGTAACCCAATATCATAGCTACATTGCTAAGAAATGTTTCACTGGATCATCACTGATGGCAGTTACTGTGCGTCCCACTGTCCTGAACTCTAGCATGCAGAGCCATTCCCCAGTATGTACTTGGAGGGTCTCAATTTTGTGTCTTGAAGAGTAGTACTACAATTGCTGCATAGACATCATTTTTCCTTGCTTGCAGTGTATTTCCTTAGCCTCTCTAGACCTTAGAGGAACATCCAATATCTGGAGACTGTGGCACTATAAGCCTATGACTAGGCCATTCCTTTAAGCCCAGAAGGGGACTGACAAATGGGGAAGCCAAGCAGATTCTGTGGCCTCGTTCTTATGTCTATGCTTCATTCATCTGTTTAAAAGTTTGCAGAGTGCCTGTCCTGGCTGAGCAAGAAGCTAGGATATAGAGATGGAGGGGTCAGGCATGTCCTTGCTCTAACAAGAAGAGCCCATTCTGGTGCGGAAGTTGGGCCTGTAACAATCAATTGTAAGAGAATCTAACAAATGCCAGAGCCGTCTACACAAGGACACAGGCAGCACTGGCTTCAGAGAAGGGGTGGGATAGGCTGGGTTTTGCCTTGTTCAAGATAGGAGTGGAAACAGAGGCAGGGCACCATGGCACAGCAAAAAGTACCATGAGCTAGGAGGGGACTGGAGCTTCTGACTTCTATGAATGTTTGTCTGGGCTGTCCTCCTAATATGCTTGGTCCAACCTTCTGTTTGTTTTAACCAGGACCACAAAGTGTCCAAAGTTCCTGGGAATTCTGTGACTACAGAATAAAGTTGAACTAATTACAAAACTCAGGCCTATTCACACAGCACAGCTGGAAGAGCACCTTATTAAATCCTTCTCCACCCTGTGCTCACTTCAGTAGCACATACACTAAATACTTCTCCATCCTTCCTGCCCGTCTCACCTTCTATAGCTCCCTGGCATTAGCAGGCTGAAGTCTGAACTTCTGGGACGAACATCTTCTCCAGTCTCCTTTCACTCACATCCTAATCACAGAAGTCCAGGAGCTCTTCCCCAAAGACACACCATGGGTGTGGACAGTAAATTCACCAGGCCCTGGCTCCACCAGCCGGAACGCCCTTCTGCTTTACCAACATATTCAACCTCCAAGCCTCACAGAATGTGACTGCCGCTGGGGGACCTTGCCTGACCCTGAGGCTCCAGCCAGGATCTCATGCTCTCACCTCCTTCATTATAGTAGTTACCACACTGGGTTATAGTGAGCGGATGATAGAGAAAGTTAGGATGAAGAAGAGAGAGATAACACATGTTGTGAAATAGCAAAGCAGTGTGTTAATACTACCCCCAAAGAAATGACTGCTTTCTTGGTAGTATGTAAATATTTGACACATAGCCCAGATTTATAAGTCACAGAAACAGTGTCTTGACTCCTCCTTTTGATTCTAATAATCTGACAAACAGGTTTGCTTATTTATATGACTATCCTGCTCAGAAAAGTGGAGTTCATGTTTTAAAACCTATAAACCTACAGAAAAAGTTCTCTAATAATCCTCCAACCTCTATTTGGTTCATGATATTGGACCATAATGTGTGCCTACCAAAACCTAGGGTTACTTACCAGAGGCTTTGTCGCCACAGACCACACAGTATTCTACTACCTGCGGCCGCTGGACGTCGGCCTTACCCAGCAAGCGCTCCACAGAAGCAGAGTCCGTGACAATCTAAGAAGAATCCGGAAACAAGCGAAGCGCTATTAAAAACCAGATCATAAAAAAAACTAATGTTTAACTATAAATTCCTAATCTTGAGTTTCTAAGCAGGAAAACCCTGGGCAGAACTGGGAAAATCCTACTTGACAACTTAGTGACATTAAGAATGGCCCTGTTGCTCTCCAAGACTGCACCCCTTCAGTGGTGAGGATAGTGGGAGGGGCATATGTGTCCAAGATTAGGCACTGGTTTTCACTCAAATACTCTCCCATCTGGCTAGCATAACCCGGATGTCCAGGATGGGGGGCCATGTGGAGAATCACATGCAGTGCTCTGACATGAATGTACTGCAGATCTTTCTGGCTCCTTCTCTATTCTCATGAAACAGCTTGGAATGCATGCAAAGAGGTATATTTGGCAGAGAAATAATTAAGCTTTATTAATTAATATACTAGGTCTCTCCTTGAGGCAGCTGGGAGTAGAAAGACTAGAAAGAGGCGACCTCTGAAACCTGTTATTTCTCCTTCACTTGCAGGTAACTTTCTAGGTGACAGTGATATTCACCTGGAAGAATACTGTAACTGCCACAAATATAAGAAAGTGAAAAAGTGCTGTTTAAATAATGTACCAACAAGAACCCTCATGGTTATTGCTCTGTGATGGGAATATATATAGAAATTACTGTGTAAAATGATCTCTTACAAAACATGCAACAAAATCAACAGCCACCTTCTCATGAACAAGGAGAAGTCTAAAAAAGCAGGGAACAACTTTAATTTCAGTTGATCAGAATGTACTCTGGGAAAGGAGGCAGTATTTACTAACTACATTATGAAGAGTCTCAGCAGTGCAGTTCTGAAAGCTGAACATCACTTGTGTCCTGAACCCAGCTCTATCAGAAGAAAAAAAATCCTTCCCTTATTTTTCTCCATAGTAGAAAGTCCCTCCCCACTCAAAACACATGGATTCTTAGCGGCATTATTCACAAGAGCCAAAAGGTAGAAGCACCTCAAACATCCAACAACAGATGACTACATAAATAAAGTGTGGTCTGTACATACAATGGAGTATCATTTAGCCTTAAAAAAGAAGGAAATTCTGACACAGGCTACAAGATGGATGAACCTTGAGGACATTATGCTCAGCGAAATAAACCAACTGCAAAAGAAAAAATATTGTAGGACTCCACTTATGTGAGGTCCCAAAGTCATAAAGACAGAAAGTAGGATGATGGCTGCCAGGGCTGGGGGAAAGGAGAGACCCAGAGTTCACAGGCGCAAGTAAGGACAGAATGAAGAGCTAGGACCATGCTTGACGACCTGGAAAAGATGAAGTGAGATTTAGGAACAAGTCAGTCCCCATCTGGCTGTGGCGAGCCCTAGGTGGGGCCCCTAAAATATCAGGGGCCAAGAACTGCCACCGTCCAGCCTTAGGTTAGTTAGAGCATTCTCGTGGCCTTAGTGCCAGCTTGCTCAGGCCAGTCTCCTGTGGGCCACGGACTGTCCTGGCTCAACTTCCACCCCATCTGAGCACTGCAGCTTGCTGCCTCCTGGGCCTTGCCACTCACTTGCTGGTTTTTTACTTTAGCCAAAGCAGCAACCTGACACACTTGTAGGTCCTCGAAGGATCTTCTAGAGATGGACGTGGCCTTCAAGGCGGAGGAGGAGTCAGAAACAAGTCTGGCAGCAGAAGTGCTGAAACAAATGCCTGTCAACAGCCTTACCTGGATCCTGCCAGGGACGAGGTTGTCTGAGGTGGTGAATATGAGCTGCTTGGCACTGGATGTCTCCGGGGAAGCCAGGATCACCTTCCCAGTTCCAGCTCCATCTGGGCTGGTCAGGATGAACTGCTGCTTGGGGGATCCGGAGGCGTCCACTGCGGTGACTATCTGGATCTTCTGTCCTGTCTGCTGGTCTGTCACAATCTACAAGACACAACATGGAGGCTGCTCTCACGGAGTATCATGTGACTCGTGTACTTGCAGGTGCTGCTCAGAGTGGTGACTGCCCAACGCCGTCCTGGAGTCAATGCTGGTCCAAGATGTAGTTTCACCAGTGCATGGTGAAATGAGAAAAATGAAACACAATCGTGAGCTTTTCAGGAACCAATTTTCATGGAGCTAATTTTATTTTAGGATGATATCGTTCCTACTATTTTTAATTAAAATGTCCTTAGGGGCAGTGGTGGGGTCCTAGATGAAGGTGGTCAAAAGATACAAACTTTCCGTTTTAAGATAAAAAAGGGTACTGGGATGTGATGTACAGCATGGCGACTGTAGCCAACTCTGCTGTGGTGCATCCGAAAGTTGTGAAGAAGGTAGATCTTAAGAGTTCTCATCACAAGGAATAAGCCATTTTTTTTCTTTTTTTTTTTTAATCTATATGAGATGATGGATGTTAACTAAACTTACAGTGGCCATCATTTCATAATATAGGTAAGTCATTAGGCTGTACATCTTGAACTTATACAGTGTTGTGTGTCAATTATATCTCAGTAAAACTGGAAAAAGCAAAGCCTTTCTTTTATGAAATGGAGATAATAATAGTAGATAAGTTTAACTTAAAAAAAAAGAAAGAAAGAAAGAAAGAAAAAGCCTTGTCCCAGGCATAATAAAGTCCAGAGAAGTCGTGACCCTGAGTCCTCCAGAGGCTCCCACCATTCACTGTTCAGGGGGCCAGCTGTCAGAGTCTGCGTCTTTCCAGAGTCCCTAACTGCATCAGTTACGATCGAAATAGTCGCTACAGCAAGAAGGACTTGTCATTCCTGCTCAAGAAATTCTCTGAAGCTGTTCTACTCCCTGTCCTGCCTTCCTCGAGGCTGAGTGCCCAGCTTTGGAGCACTGCCCACCTTCTTCCTGGGGCACCAGCAGGCCCACACAGCAAACAGGATTTTGGGGGCTGCTGTGGGTGGGCCTTGGACTGGGGGAGAGGTACTACATCTCTGGCTGGAACTCCCTTTCCTCTACAATATTTACGGGCAGGTCTGGTATCCGTGCTACATCTTGATAGATGCTGACTTGTGACATAGCATTCCAAAGTTCAGAAAGCAAACTCACAAAGACTCTAGCACAACAGCTTTGCCAACTATCCAATATGGAAAACCAGACAATGCTGGTTGGTTCAAAAGAAAATGACAAAGATCCAATCACTTAATTATGTTTATTTAGAGTATCCACTATATGTCAAGCTCTGTTCTTTGTACTAGGGAGAGGGACATGAACACAACAGAGCTCCTACCTTGTGGAGTTAACCTTATATAGGGGGAAACAGACCATGAACACTGATACTGCAGAATATCAGTCATAGTACGTATCATAAAGAAAACTAAAAAGCAGAGTAAAGAGACAAAGCATGTCAAGGGGAAGGAGGATGAAGGGCTGCTTTAGAAAGAAAGAGCTCTCTCACGGGGGTGATGTTGAGCAAAGACCTGGATGAAGCAAGAGAGGAAGCCATGCAAATATGTGGCAAAGTATGTTACAGGCTGAGGGCACAGCAAGTTCAAGACCAGAAAGAAGAGCAGACTGGGGAGAGAAGATACACGAACAAATCCTTAGCTATAGTGGGGCATGAATCCCAGCATACCATCATTTGCTACTGAAAAGGTCAAAAGATCTTGAAGGCTGAAGAAGAACAGATTTAGCGAATCAAAGGAAGTACCTTTCATTGTTACAACCTGTGGCATACATACCCAGCTTCCCCTGGAAAAGTAAAACATGAGACAAAGGGGCACCTGGGTGGCTCAGTGGGTTGGGCCTCTGCCTTTGGCTCAGGTCATGATCTCAGGGTCTTGGGATGGAGCCCCACATCAGGCTCTCTGCTCAGCAGGAAGCCTGCTTCCCCCTTTCTCTCTGCCTGCCTCTCTGCCTACTTGTGATCTCTGTCAAATAAATAAATAAAATCTCAAAAAAAACCACCACGAGACAGAAAACTTTGTAAGAATTCTCTTTTAAAACTTTCCCACCCACTGCTGAACTGAAAGACTGCAGACAGGCTGGCTGACACACACACTTCTCTCAGCTGCCACAGAAGGCACTCCTTCCTTTGTTAAAAGAGAACAAGCAGGCCTTTGAAAGGCCCTTATAACCTTGAGATCTGGGAGTAAAATGTCTGACTTCCTTTTCATGTCTATCAAAACTTATCTCCTTCCTAAATTACTTTCCCTGTTAAATAATGAAATGGTCATGTGATCTGAGAGGGTCTTCAGTCACCAGCTATAACAAAGGCAAGGCTAGTAGAAGTCCTTCACATGCTCAGAGGTGACACACTCTGCACCTGAGTACACACAGTCACTGCCATGTCACCGCCTTTGATGCTATTCCCCAGGTCTCTTGGTCGAGGTACAGCAGGTATGGGGCTGGGGCAGGGGTGGGAGGTAGGACTGATTGGGTCTAGACAGGGACTAGTGGGGCTATATGTAACATATCATATGTAACAATCTGAGTGTGGCTCAGATTATTTTTTCTTTTTTCCCTTAAAGACTCAGGCTCACAGAAGCCAAGGGTGACCCTTAGGCAAACAAAGGCCTTGCTGACAAGTATCAGCAGACAGATACCTGTTGAATGAGACCAAGGAAACATCAAATTGAGGGTGTATCCAGACTTATTAAATCTCCCAGGGAGGGGTGGAGAAGAGGTGTTGTTGGTAGAATCATGTCCCCTCAAAAAGATGGTTACATCTGATCAAGTTAAGATGAGTCTGGATGATACTGGATGATACTGGATGAGAGTGGGTCCCAAATCCCGTGACTGGTGTCCTTACTAGCAGGCCTGTGATGACAGAAGCAGAGAGGAGTGTTGCGGCTGCAGGTAAAGAACACTGAGGACTTTTGGTCACTACCAAAAGCTAGGAAGGAAGGCACAGGGGAATGCTTCCCTAGAACCCTACAGAGAGCATGCCCCAAGCAAATACCTGGATTTTGGGCTTCTGCAAGAAAATAAATTTCTGTTGTTTCAAGGCCCCAAGTTTGTGGTAATTTGTTATGGCAGCCCTAGGAAATGAACGTAAGAGGCAAACTTTATTTAATCTCTTCACTTGGAACAAACGTTCATACTTTCTGCTTGCATGCCTTGTTTTCTCTGTGACCTTTTTTTTTTTTAAAGAGAGAGTGAGCAGGGAGGAGGCACAGAAGGAGAAGGAGAGAGAGAATCTTAAGTAGGCTCCATGTTTAGCACAGAGCCTGACACAGGGCTTAATCCATGACCCCTGAGACCATGACCTGAGCTAAGAACTGGGACATTTCACTGACTGAGCAACCCAGGTGCCCCTCTGTGACTCTTAAGGCCTTCCAAGCTTGCTGACACACAGTACTGCTACAACTCGTTTTGAAAAGGTATTATTTGTTCCAATGTGACTGATATATTATGGAATATTCTGTGCATAATATAAATCTTGTGTTTATGCAGGATCTCTCCTGAGAAATAGCAGACACACAGAAAATGACCCCCAGGTGAGCAATATGGGAATAGGTAGCTCAGTGCACGTGGTGTTACAGCTTTCCCTGATTTCAGTTCACTCACTCACCACAACTCCGGAGTTACAATCCTCTCACATTCCCTCCACAAGCAAGCTTCAGGTCTCTTTCAAGGAAAAGTGCCATATTTATTGTCATTATTATGTATTTCTTAACCATTTAATGTATGTAAAACTGCAATTTAAATCAAATTAAATTCATACTTGCTTTTTAATGTGTCACCAACAATTTTTCAGTGTTATGCCACCAACCCCATATACCCCCTTAAGCCCTGTAGTTTCCACTGCAGAATTTTGCACAGTATGGGAATTTTTAGGAACAGGTGTATCACATTATAGCATACTATAGCAGAGCTGACTACATATTCTACCGGCCTAAGGCCCTCCCTACTTCCACCCCAAAAACATCTTAATGTGACCTGACTTACTGCCATTCTCCTCCATGTTACCCACTCTCTGTTCCAGCCAAGCTGGACTCATCATTCGTGTTGTAAAGGAGAGTCTGCAAATGGACAGCCTGAAGGCAAAAAACAGTCACTGTATAATTTTCGCTTGACCTCCCAGAGTTTAAAATTTAAAAAACTGGTTGTCAATACCTGAGGATAGAGTATTTACCATAAAAATCAGATTTACAGTTCTTGTGACAAGCTGGAAGCTGTCCCCACCCTGGCCCCAAGTTCCCCTGTGGTTATCGACTGGCTGTTTATGGCTGTCCCTTTGGACGGGGCACAGGCTCTCTGTTTGGCCCTAATTCCCACCCTGCCCACCTTCTCTACTGCCACCTGGTCCTGTAAACACAGGTCTGTGATCCTGAAATAGGGCTTTGCAGCTAGAGCTATGAATGGAATGCTCATTCTACTGCTTCCCAACTGGGTCACTGTGGAACAGGTACATGAGCTTTTGTGAGGCTGTTTTCATATCTATAAAAAAAGGATTACTAAGAAAGTGAAACGATATATTTGAAGGCAGCTGGTATAAGACCCAGAACATAAGAGGACCTCGATAAAAATATTTCCTGCTCTAAGCTCTCACATACTTCTCTCCTCACTGGGAAGGCTTGTCTTACCACTTTCATCGAATTTCTCCCTCTGACTTGGGCTCACTCACTCACTCATTCATTCCTCAAATGCTTACAAAGGGTCTACTCTATGCTGGCCACTTTGCTAGATTACAGGCATTATGGAGATGGCTCCTGCTCTCATGAAGCTTCTATTTTAGTGGAAAAGTGGCAAAAAACAGAACAGCCAGTGAACAATTTGTGATAAGTGTTATAAGGGAAAAGATCTGGCTAGAGTAGGAGAGAGTAACACAAGCACTTAACTTTTTAGACAGAGAGATCAAGGAAGGCTTCTGTGTTAAGGTGGCATTTAACTAACACAGGATTCAAGGCTAAGGAGGGAGTTAGAAAAAGGTTTAGGGAAAAGTGTGTTCCAAGTAATGGGAAATGTTCTGGGATATGCAAAGTCCTAAGAGGAAGGAACTCTTAGAACTGACATCAGGCCTATGGACAATGAAGAGTGGTCCAGGAGCCTAGGGAGGGAGGTGGGCTGGCCCTGGTGGAAGTCGGGATTTCTTCCAAGTACAATAGGAGCTATTCAGGGGTTTTGCCCTCCTAAATAAGGGTCTTCAGGTTTCTTATGCTATTTTATGTCTATCTTATATACTATTCTATACAAACACATACATTTTTAAATATATAAATACATATAAAACTTGTCACACTGTCCCAAGTCAGTGTATATTAAAGCATAAGAAAGAACAACAGAAGAGATAATTAAAAGGCAAAGAAACTCTGTTAAAGATTTTTTTGACCTATGCAAAAAGGTATATGAATCTTTTCTCAAAAACAAATTTCAGTTCATGAATAGTTAATGCTGCTCACAGGCAAAGATCAAACAAATATATTCTCCATTCAGCCTCACTAACTCAATCCCTAGAACGTAGATAAAGTGTTTGACAAAGCTTTCCTCTCCGAATAATACAAAACAGTGTTTTCTAAATACATTTAGGACTTGAAGTGAGGGAATGATGGACTTTGCATTTTAAACAGATATTCCTGGATGCTGGATGGAAAAAATATAGAACAAAAAAAGTGGAAGCTGAGAAACTGTTCGGATGTCCCTGGAGGAGCCAGGTGGTAGCTGAAGATGGGGGCTGTGGGTCTGGAGAGCAGAGGACCACTGCAGGATGCATACGGGAGGGAGAAGCGACAGCACATGCAGGTGGGTATAGAAGTGAGGAGTGAAGAATGAAGAGCCAGGAATGACTATCGGGTTTCTAACCTGAACAATGAATGGCATGGTGGATGGAGCAAGGGTTGACAGGAATTCAGAGGTCTGTTTTTGGCCTGGCAAATATGAGATGCGTAAGTAGATATGTCAAGTAAAATACCAGATAGATGAATGTGGAGCTCAAAGTATATTTCTGGTTTCAACTTCAATGTAAAGAGCTTAGAAGTTATCATTTCATCTTCACAACAAGAAAAAGCAAGACTGAGGCACCTTGGTGGCTCATTCATTAAGCGTCTGCCTCTGGCTCAGGTCATGATTCCAGGGTTCTGGGATCGAGCCCCGCATCTGGCTCCCGGCTTAGCGGGAAGCCTGCTTCCCCCTCTCCCACTCCCTGAGCTTGTGTTCCCTCTCTCACTGTGTCTCTCTGTCAAATAAATAAAAACTTAAAAAAAAAAGGGGGGGCAAGATAAATGGAAAATCATCAACTTCCCTTGGACTTATCAGAGAACTTGAGTGTGCAGGGCAAATCCATCCCCAAATCTGGAGAGGTGGGTTCACAAAGTCTGAGATCTGCTTAGGTGGAGAAGTCAACCTGGAGGAACATTTAAAAGGTAATTACAATGAACTGCTGGAGACTTAGCACAGATCAGAAGAAACTCTTGGGGGCCACAGTTTTAGGAGGGTCAGGGGCTTTAGAGCTAGGAATCCCATTTGGTTCTCAAGGTGAAGAAATGAGAAAGATTCCCTGGTGGCTTTGGTAGGGGAAGGGGAAGAATTTCTGTAAAATGAACTCAAGGGTTTCTTCTGTAAAATAAACACAGGCCTATTCTGCAGGGGAAAACACTTACTTGAGTCTTATCCCACCTGGGGAAAGGGCATTTCTTCAGCTCCAGGCCCCTTGGAACTTTCTATCTTAGAGAAGGGGGTGGGCAGTAAGGGAAATCCATACACACTTGTGAAGGTGAGAGCCTGCAATATGATTTATAAGAAATATGTAATTGGTCATTCAGATGACAAAAACATTTTTCAGATATATTTGGTCTTCACCAACAGTTCCTAAAAATGCTTTAAAGCCAAAAAAGTGAAACAATGCCTTGTTATTAATGAAGGTGACTTTTGGGACCCTTCCCAAGGGCAAGGGCTAGTTGCCAGAAGGATCAACCATGTGATTAAAAGGTTGGAACTTTCAATATCCCCCCTCTCCCAGGGGCAGGGGTATGGGGGAGGGGCTGGAGGATGAATCAGCCAGTTGTCAGTTACTTAATCAACCATGCCTCTGTAATAAAGCCTCCATAAAAACCTAAGTCAGCTTTTTAGCCCTTTACAGAGGGCTTCCATGCTTGGGGAACCAGAACGCTTCCGTGTGTCACCAAGCTGGCCCCAAGTTTCATGAGGACAGAAACTCCCTTGTTCGGCATCTTGCCCAAGGTATTTTCATCTGGCTGGTGATCTGTATCCTTTAACAAACTGGTAAACATGAGTAAGTGCTTCCCTGAGTTCTGTGAGCTGCTATAGCAAATTAGTTGAACCTAAGAAGGTCACTGGAACCTCCAATCTGTCACTGGTTGGTCAGAAGCTCAGCTAAGAACCTGGGACTTGTGACTGGTGTCTGAGGTAAGAGTAGAGGTCAGTCTTACAGGGCTGAATTACTAGTCTGTAGAATCTAATGCTATCTCCATGCTGACAGTGTCAGAATTGCTTAGTGTTGTATATGTGGGATCCCCTCCAACCCCACCCCAAAATTGGAACTGGGTCCTGGAACTCTTATACCTATAAGCCCAGGGACACAGGTCCACTAAATACTGAGATTTCACCATACGGTGACTGAATGCTTCCCCTCCATGACACTTTACCACCCCACCAACAGGGCTCCAGTGTAACAGTGGATTATAGCTCCAAGAGCTTCAAGACACACACTCTCTGAGGAGGAATATCCAAGAAGCCCAAAGTCAGGAGGAGAGACAGAGACAAAGACACCAGAGGAACCTGAAGCCTCTGGACCTACAGCCGCAGCAAACATCACACACAGTTCAACCCTAGCCAGATTAACATAAATCCTCATAGCAGAGGCTTATTTACTTTAGTTCTTATTATCTAACAGCAGATACTGTCTGGTTTTAAAAAGAATATGTGCAAGAAATGTCAAAAGACAAGAAAAACACAATCAGAAGAGAGAAAACAAGCATCAGAATCAGACTCCAAAAGGACAAAAATCTTGGAATGACCGAACGAGAAACTTAAAATAGAAAGATCGATATGTTAAGGTCTCTAGAGGAAAAAGTACAACATGCAAGAACAGATGAGAAATGTAAGAAGATGGAAATTCTCAGGAAGCAGGAAATGCTGGAAATCAAAAATACAGTAACAGAAATGAAGAATGCCTTGATGGACTGGTCAATACACTGGATACAACAAAGGAAAGAATTTGTAAGCTTTAAGATAGGTCAACAGAAACATCCCTAACTGAAATCCAAAAGGAATGGTCTGTAAGACTTGTTTGGTTAAAAAAAGAAGACCCTACTATAAGTTGTCAACAGGAAACCCTAGAAACAGGCAGATCAAAAGCAAAGGCATGGAGTAAGACATCATATTATCAATCAAAAGACACTTGGAGTAACTGAATTGAATTCAGAGACAAACAGACTTCAGAACAAGGAAAATATCAGGCATAAAGAGGGACATTACATGATGATAAATGGGTCGATTCCCCCAAATACATAATAATCCTAAACATGTATGCACCTAACAACAAAGCTTCAAAATACATGCGGCAAAAAATTACAAAACTGCCAATGAGAAATACAGAAATTAATAACTATAGTTGCAGATGTCATTGCTGACCTGTCAGCATGGTAGATGAAGCAGGCAGAAAATCAATAAGGATATAGTTGACTTGGACAGCACTATCAATCAACCTGATATAACTGACATTTATAAAATAACAGATCTAACAACAGCAGGGTACACATTCTTCTCAAGCTTTTATGGAACATTCAATAAGACAGATCACATCCTGAGCCATAAAATAGGAATCCATTCTTAGACCACAAAGGAATTAAACTAGAAATTAAAGAGAAAAATAGTTTTAAAAAATCCCCACATATTTAGAAATTAAACAACACACTTCTGAATAACATATGGGTCAAAGAAGTCGTCTCAAGAAAAATTTAAAATGTTTTGAACCAAATGGAGTTCACAGCAGAGGTCCCGGCCATAGTTATCTATTTGGAAATCACTAGCATAAAATAACATTTAAGCCATGGGCTCAGAGAAAATACAGAGAGGAGAGACTGAGCCTAGAATAGAGCCCTGAGGGATTTCAACATTTAGCAGTCTGGCTGAGAAGGTGCAGCAAAGAACTATAGCCAATATTATAAAAGTTACTCTAGAATTATTTCCTATTTTTATAAATTATTTCCTGTAAGCTTTCCAAATATTATTCCTCTTATTGAACAGATACTTAGCTGGCTGACTGATCTTGGACATTTCAGAGCAGTGGTTCTAGAAAAGCCTAAAATTTTAATATATGTATTTACACTTGGATCATAAAGTACATTTAATGTAAAAGATAATAATAAAATTAGACATAATTTTCAAAAAGCCTATTGGATGAAAAAGTAAAGGAGGTAGAGTTATGGCGAAAGATGGGGAAAGAATACTTTCTTATTTATGATTATATAAAATTTAAGTATCAGCTTGGATACTCAAAAACAGAGTAATTTTTGTTTATTATGTATTTATGGATGAATAAGTAACAGAAATGCAAAACTTATACAGCAGTGATATTTCACCTAGAGAACTAAAAAATATTAAACAGTATACAGAACATAATATATAGTTACGTGTATAGCGAAATGGGCACCCTCCTATTGGGCCGGTGGGAATACAAGTTGGCACAACCTCTTTGAAAGGCAATCTGTCAGTGACTATCAAAATTACACATGGACAACTCCACTAACTTCATATTCAAAGGTGAAAAGCTGAAAGCTTTTCCTCCAATATCAGGAATAAGACAAAGATGTGTACTGTTGCTGCTTCTATCCTACATAGTACTGGAAATCCTAGACAGTGCTATTAGGCAAGGAAAATAAGTAAAAGGCATCCAAATTGAAAAGGAAGAGATGAAACTGTCAGTATTTGCAAATGCCATGATATTATGCATAGAAAATCATAAAGACAAGGGGCGTCTGGGTGGCTCAGTCAGTTAAGTGTCTGACATTTGATCTCAGCTCAGGTCTTGATCTCAGGGTTGTGAGTTCAAGCCCAGCACTGAGCCTACAAGAAGAAAAGAAGGGAGGGAGGGAAGGAAGGAGGAAGACAGAAAGATGGAAAGAAAGAAAATCCTAGAGACTTCACCAAAAAACTGTTAGAGCTAATAGGCAAATCTGGCAAAGTTGCAGGATACAAAGTCAATATACAAAAATCTGTTGTGCAGGGGCGCTTGGGTGGCTCAGCTGGTTGGGTGTCTGCCTTCTGCTCAAGTCAGGATCCCAGAGTCCTGGGATCAAGCCCCGCTAGCACTGGGCTCCTTGCTCAGTAGGGAGCCTGCTTCTCCTCTCCCTCTGCCTACTGCTCCCCCTGTTTGTGTTCTCTCTCTGTCAAATAAATGGATAAAATCTTTAAAAAAATAAAAATTATATAAAAGAAATCTGTTGTTTCTATAAGACACTAATAAAGAGAAATTAAGAAAACAATCTTATTTATAATTAAATCAAAAAGAATAAAACACCTAGGAATAAATTTAACCAAGAAGGAAAAGACCTACACACTGAAAACTATGAGACATTAATATAAGAAACTGAAAACAAAAATAGAAAAATATTCTGTGCTCATAAGCTGAAAAGTTAATACTGTCAAAATGTCTATACTACCCAAAGCAATCTACAGATTCAATGAAATTCCTATCAAAATTCCAATGGCATTTTTTTCACAGAGATAGAACAAAGCAATCCTAAAATTTATATGGAACCACAAAAAACAAACAGCTAAAGCAACCTTGAGAATAAAAGAACAAAACTGGAGGCATCACACTGCCTGATTTCAAACTATATTATAAAGCTATATAGGGGCACCTGGGTGGTTCAGAGGATTAAGCCTCTGCCTTCAGCTCAGGTCATGATCTCGGGGTCCTGGGATCGAGGCCCACATCGGGCTCTCTGCTCAGCAGGGAACCTGCTTCCTCCTCTCTCTCTGCCTGCTTCTCTGCCTACTTGTGACCTCTCTCTGTCAAATAAATAAATAAAATCTTAAAAAAAAAAAAAAAAAGGCTATATAATCAAGACAGTATGGTA